CATTAATTGTTTTTGCACTGGGGCTCACAAGATCCTAGTTAGGCACTGGTGGTGTGATATGTGTGCTTTGTCTGTGTGTGAGTAATGAGACTGAGCACAGGTTATCTTACAGATAAACAAATGTGTATTATTAAGATTTGCACGTACACTTTTATTTTATATTGTTTAATATTGCCCAGGTCCAAACACCAAAAACCCCAAGCTATGATATGCATATGTTTTAAGGAAGCATATATGAATTTGTTTTTTAAGTCCCAGAAAGAGGACATATGGTCATCCTAACACACAGATTTGCCTTCAACAAAATAAACCAGATAAACAAAAGACAAACAGCTATCTTGAACACTGGATGAACGTTACATTGGAATTAAAGAGATTACCTTAAGTAACTTGTTACATTATACAAAGGTCTGATTATATCAATAAGTTCTTTAACCATTACTTTCTGCCACAGAATACACTCTATGTGAAATAAATGTGTATTTGAATTTAAAACCCTATATAGTACTAAACAATATTAAAAAAGTCTCATTAATGATGCTGTTCACTGCTGGACAGTCAGCGTAAAATTACTTCTCGATTAGGTTTCACTTCCACTCGTTTTAAACCCCAAATCGATGCCCAGTTTTTCACTTCTGTGCCAATGAAGGTTACTGTATAGAAGCTACACTGGATACCTATTTCTGCTTTCATTTGAGCTGCCACAAGAGAGGAACCCATATGTGCTCTGAAAGTGATGTTCACTGATCCACAGTGCTGTCAGTGTAGTTTCGCCCATTCCGGCATAAATGTAAAAAATGATGGCACGTCAGTGTAAACTCTTTCCTATGCATTGAATTTAAATTCTGTTCTGCATTACCCATCACCACAAACTCTATTCCACATTTCATTCTACTTTATACAGCAGTTAGTCCTGACCACAGAATCCAAAAAACATTCTACCCATGTTGTTTTATCTGATTAAAGCATGTTTCTTCATCATACTTGCATTGTTCACCTAAACATCAGTTGCTAAGTAACAGCAGTGGTGGCTTTAAGCTGCTGGAACTACATGTTTTGCATGGGGAAGTTAGCATTACATTTTCTTTACTTTGCAAAATCGTTGTCTAAATGTAACAGAACACTTGAAGCCATGTTTTATCTTGAACATTATTGTCGCAGAGATTGCTGTGTTGTTTGCGATAGCATGTTCTATTGCTTAACTACATTTCAGCGTACATTCTATTACATACTGTATATCAGTGTAAGCACCATTCCACACTGCCTATGGATGTAAACTCCATTTCATACTATATGATATGTCAATGTCAACTGTATTTCACACTAATTACATGTAGTGCCCCTTCAGATGTGGGCCTTGATACATTAGGGCAGTGTTTTGCAGCCCTGGTCCTGAGGGCCTACTGTCCTGTACATTTTATTACTTTACCTGCTTTAACACACCCACTTTAACTCAATAAAGGGCTGTTAATGAGCTGATGAGTTAGATCAGATATGTCGGAGACAGAGAAAACACTAAAAAAGTGCAGGCCAGTGGGCATCCAGGACCAGGGACAGTGTATTAGTGGAGTCCAGTAGATGAGTGAATGCTTTGTTTCACTCAGTCATGGAGTGAGGCAGTCGAAGCCTAAGTGAATTCAATGAACATGAGGCAAAACCGAAGCAAGGTGCATACGAGGCGCACAGTGTCACCTTGCATTTCTTTGTATTTCTGGGCACTTGTGGGTACTGATGGTATCTGCTAATGCGGTAAGAGTACAATGTACAAGGAAGTGATGGAACGTCTTCTATTGAGATGGGTCACATTCAGCTTCTGTTTTCTGTGGAGAGAAAGGGAAAGTGTTGTTTGATGATTTGTTTCGATAGTTCTGTGAAGAACCATGTGACAAAGCAGACCACCAGCTTGTTACAGCATTTCAGAGTTTTTCTTTTCTCCCAGGGTGAGGTCAGTGAAGTGAGTTTTGAAATCAAAAACAAGGTTTGAATCAGCTGATTCCATGAATGAATTGTGAAACCAGTGGCGTTACTGTCCTGAGAAGTGGAGCTCACACTCCTGCACATCACATTTGAAAAACTCCAGCTTCCTCTGGAAAGCCCACTTTGCTGACATAGGATCATACATCCTGTGGTCACTGAAGTTTTTCACCAACCCCTGGTCATGCTGTATGTATATATGTGACCGCCATGACTTCTTCAACATTGTTTCTAAACGTGGAGCATAGACATAAAGTCTTAAGAACACTAAACCTCACTCACTCTTGACTGTACACCTGCAACCATAGATTATTAAAACCTGTCAAACCCACGAAGCCATGAAAGCTTTGTTTCACTATAAACATAATTCCTCTGACACAGTCTTAGTCTGCAGTTTCCACTGTGCTACATTTTGTTATTATTGCCACTTCTGCCCAGTGCCTTCCTGGTAGTACATGGTTCTTCAAGGGTTCTTTAGTAAAGGGAATGGCTCTATATATTTCATACTTCATACTTAAATGGTTCTTTGCATGGTGAGATTGATGGAGAATGCGTTATATATGGTTCTATGTAGAACTTTCTGAAAATAGTTCTATATAGCACCAAAAAGTGTTCTTCTATTGTTATGATGTCAAGTTTGTAACAGCAGAAGAACCCTTTTTAGTGCTATATAGAACCATTTTCAGAAAGCTCTACATAGAACCACACACAACATATTCTCCATCAGTCTAAATAACCATTTTACCATGCAAAGAACCATTTAAGCATGAAATGGTTCTAAGTAGAATCAATCCTTTTACTAAAGAACCCTTGAAGAACCATCTTTTTTTAAGAGCGTGGATTAATTCAAAAGTGAGTCTAGTGTAGGTCAGTGGTCACCAACCCTCCTCCTGGAGACTCTGTCTTTCTGCAAAGTTTAGTTTGAATTCTAATCTGCTGGATGCATCTAATCAGTTTATTCAGAAAATCTTGATCAGGTTTATTAGTGGACGGAAGTCTTTCCACATCTGGCACTTGTTATTTTATAACTAACGTTGCTGTTTTAGTCTGTGAAACTATTTTTAATAGGCAAACTTTAGGTAGCTTTTCTTGGGTAGTCCATGTTAAACGGCCACATTAACCACACAGTCTAAATTAAATAAAGCACACTGTTCCCATGCTGAAGGTGAAACCGAAGATTCAAAACCCCTGAAATGAGGAAGAATGCAGATCCAGCCTGGCAGAACATCAGAATAATATACATATGATCAGCAAACAATCTGCAAACATGTGGAAACATGCAAAACATCATGCAAGACATTTAGTTTCTGGGTGTCATTAGATGTGATTAGATTAGAAAGATGTGGAATGAAATATTAAAGATTAATTCCCTACCAAATCTAACACTGTTTTGAGCGCTGTAATGGGGTGCATATGTGTAAAACATGCGAGTATGATAACAATTCAGTATGTTGGATATTATAATGCCCCTTTAATGCCTCAACAAGCCAGTAGCTGGTGATTTCTGCTTATTACTACTTTATAAAACAGCAAGTAGGGTGAACTGACTCCTTCTTTGGTATAAACGTTAACTAGAAATCTGAGATTTCTCTTTAAAATAGGGGGTCAATTTGTCTTATTTGAGAGCTAATTGTTATTTACTGTAGAGTCATTGTTAAGAATCAAAAGAAAACACCAAACTAGTGATTTGAGAAAAAAAAAAGAAACAATTCTGATGAAACACAATATTTCAGATATTGATCTTTCATTACAGAATTAATTAACAAGCACATTCCACAGAGAACCAAAAAGGTTCTGTGCAAGTTTATGATGTATAATACACAAGTAAGAATATTTAAGCAGCCTAGTTATTATTTAATTACTTATTATTAAGCAGCCAGTTAATCATCAGTTATTGGCTTGGTAAGTTCTGGTACTAGCTCTTGGTTTAATAAGGCTTATTAAGGATATAAAAGTGGGGCTTTGAAAATGTTGTGTAAAAGGTTATAAAGTACAGAATACAAATAAAGGCGCTTTGGAAAATGCTTCACTCACCCTAATTATTGCTTATTAGAGTGATAATGGGCAGCCAGTTCTTTTCCAGCTACGTACTTGATGAGTATAGCTTCATAAATTTGTCTGAACCCAGTGGGTCCTGACTGCATTTTCCAAATATGTGTTGGGCTCAGATCACTTTTGGAAACTTTTACTTTGCTTTAGTTTTCATTTGCCCTATTGTTCCTCCCTACTGTCACATACAGTTTTTCATCAGGTACGCTGGGGTCAGCCGCTTGGTCTGTTGACAGAATTTAGCACTGATGTCCACAAGTCCCACAACTGTGAGAAAATGGATAAAGGAAATAACACTGATCTGAAGGGTACAGTTTAGTGCAGGCATGTCCAACTGGGGACGTTCCAGGCCTAAATGAAGTGTGCTTAATTTGGCAACATGTTGAAGTCTGCAGTGTTTTGGCCCACGAGGACTGGAGCCTGACACATGTGGTTTAGTGCAGCCAAAAGGACGTTCAGTTTGTTTGGCCAAAAATATCTTCTGTATAATATGTTTAATATGAAAGCGCTTCTTGATAAATACATTTTTTAAAGCTGGATTTATCTGTAATCTAACAATAACTGTTATATTATTATATAATAATAATGGTTTGGTTCAGGTTTAGACTCAAAATGTTACTGCTAGCATTTGTGAACAATTTATCATAAGCAGGCCAGAATGGCAGTCTACACTTCACCTCTCATAGTCAATGTGTCACTTCAAAGAGCCCTGTCAGCCTGTTGTAACTTATAGGTAAAACTTTTCTTGGTGGTCGGTAATAAAGTTGAAATCTCTTCATGATTCACACAAGAGCTGGCATTTTCTCAGGAGTGCTGGTTTTCTTCAGCCAGCTCTCACGTTGGAAAAGATCATTTGTTTTCAGCTGCTCAAGTGAAGTTCCTCATAGAAAGTTTGTGGCTGTGGTCGTGTACAGGGACGCTTATTCCAGCCCCTACTTCCACAATCCATGATACTTTCAATTTCAGTCAGGATAAAAACCAGGGTGAGGCCTACCCAGACTCTTCAGAAGACTGGACACACTAACTCTGGTGAGCGGACTTGATCAATCTATTAAATTAGACAATTAACAAATAAACGTCAGTTTGACCATTTATAGTTTTTCAGCCTAATAACTGAACATATTAACAAAGAGTAAAACTAAGGATGATTTAAGCCAGAAAAAGGGAAGAATGAAGAGTTTGTGTGCCACACTTTGAATGGAGAAGGTCTCCTTTCCCCAGGTTTCTGTTTGCTCAGAGCAGAGGGTGGGCTGGAGGAGACGGCTGAGGATGTGCTGGTGGTCTCGGGGGAACATGTCTCAGGACTGGGGGATGTGCCGCCTCTGTAAGTAGAAATAAAAAAAATAAAGATGTCGTTTGGCTGTGATCTAGAAGTTAAACAATATTGTAAGGCTTTATTTAACTGTCTGCTTTATTCAGACTAACACTCACCATATTATTGTTATTATACTAATAATTAAACTACACTTTTCAGCCCTGTTCAAACAAAAGGCAAACAGACAAAAATGGACAAAAATGCTATTTCACATTATAACTTGTTATCTTCTTCGTGAAATTGAGTGATGTAATTTCCTGTCATCTTAATTTTATGAGTGTGTGGATACAGGCTGTGTCCAAGTAGTATTATGAAATCTGCTGTCCTTGCTTGATGTAGTAGCCATGTGGACAGTTCTGCCAGTATATTTAGTGAGGCCAGGGCTGTTTTTTGAACATTAATGTCTGATCAACATTGTACTTGGATGCCTCTCATCCACCTCAGGTGTGGCCTCCTAATTAGAGAAGCGGTCTCATCTCCTCATCTGCCCCATCTAGTGGCCTAAGCATAGACAGATGATGAACAAGACACAACACATTTATAACTATTTAAATTATTTAAATGATTTATAATCTATTCAAATGATCTCTGTTGGAGATAATGTGTCTATGTGGTTCATCCAAAACATTTCCCTGGATTTACGTAGTTTATCGTTGTCTCTGTCTTGTTCCACAACCACTTGTTCTTTATCAAAGTAGAAAAATTTCACAAATTAAATGACCACCATTTAACACAGTGTGTGGCGCTACGATGCTCACAAAGTCTAGTGCAGAACTCTGTAGATGTTGTCCCCACATATAACAAACCACATGGGCAACAAATAGCATATACCACATTACATGAGAGTTGCGATTAATAACACTTTTAACGTATATGTGCCTGTAATGTACCTGTTCTATGTGGAAAATCTCTCATTCGTTTTGTGGAACGACACTAGAAACAATCCTCACTTTTATAGTTCCCAAAGGGATCTGTATAGTTTTCTGTTTTAAATAACTCTGACTGATGTCTGCTTTTGCAACCTTATTTTGAAGTTTCCAGCTCTCTGAAATGATGAAGATTGAGTGTTTTGAAAGGGTTTCCCTAAAGCTGCCAATGTGTATGAATAATTTTAAGAGGTTTGGAAGAATATAAAAGACTTCTTTTACTTTAAAACGTCAGTGTTCATGATGGCTTTAGTTTCTGCCAGTATTATAAAGAATGACCCAAATTATATATGAAAAACAAACAAACAAACAAAAACATACTTGTGCGGCCCCTGGTGACTGCTGGTGGCCATGGCCTCAACTTCAATCCTGACCATTGAAAAGCATGGTGAAAAGAGGCTAACAGAAAGTATACTAATATAAAGTATGCAGAGAAACAGATGGACTACAGTCTGTAATTGTAGAACTACGAAGTGCACCTATATAGTAAGTGGAGCTGATAAAATGGACGAGAGAATACATAAAGAGGTGTACTTAATAAAGTGTCCAGTTATAGTGGATCTATAAGGCAGGTGGTCCTCATAAAGTGACCAGACTTTATTAGAGACTAGAGCTCTAATACAGTGGATGGTGAAGTTAAGGCTTGTGATGCAGTGCGTTCTGAACTTGTGTGTTTTGCTTAATATTATGTGTAATGCTTCATTTCCGTTTTTTTCAGTGCCCGTTCTTATTGTACTGGTCACAGCCTTCGATGTCGGTGCCTGTGCAGATGATCCTCTTTTTGAATGCCTAAAAGACCCTGATTATGAAGAACTTTGTGAGATAATGGACCGAGGTCTCTGCCCTACAACGACTCCTCGAAGTGTGGCTGTCATTGGTGGAGGCATTGCTGGACTTACAGCGGCTAAGGTTCTGCAGGACGCTGGACATAAGGTATCTCTTACATTAAACACTCTGGACCTCAATCATTTCAAGTTTGTCTGATTCATTTCCATTGCAGCTTTTTAAAGGTCCTGCACAGCCTTTATACACCATGTTCAGATATTCTAGCACATCAAATCAATGTTTGGTATTTGCTGGTAGTCCTCCATATAGTCCTATTTTGCTAGACTACATCTGGCCTCATTAAAATTCTTACTGCCAGTTTTGTTACCATCTCTTTCACATGGTTCAGATGATTCATAGAATTGTTGTTAGCAGCTTTGCACATGACACTACGTCTAATGCTGGAAAACAAACAAAAAAAAACACAGGGAATTCCATTTTAAGAGAAGTAGCAGAACTTTCATGAACTTAAGTGTTTTTTTTTTGAGTATTTCTTTTTGCAAATAAGATGTGTGAATGCATCTTATTAAAAGTACACATTTGGACCTTATAGTCCATGTTGTACCATTGAAGGTACATTTACATTGGTTGTAGTTTAAAGAATCATCATTTACTGGTTCCCCTGACAGTATATAGTATGTGTCAGGCTCCAGTCCTTGCAGGTCAAAACTCTGCAGACTTCAGCACACTGCCTCATTAAACACAACTGATTCAGCTCATCAGCTAATTAGCAAGGGCCTTCATGAACTGAATTCAGAGCGTTAGATGATGGTAAACGCTAATGTTTGCAGCACTTTGGCCCAGAAGGTCCCCAGTTTGACATGCCTGGTGTATAGGAAAGACTCAGCCTACAGCAGGGATATTCATTTCTGGCCAGTGTTCAGAACAGTTTGCTGATTTCCCTGTTTAAGCACACCTGCCAAACCAGCCAGTTAAATTAATTAGTTGAGTTTAGATGACATGTTTGAGCAAGGAAATCACCAAACTGTGCTGGACCCCAGGCCCCAGGACTGAAAACAGTTTATTTACATTTACATTTAAAACATTTAACTAATGTCCATGTTCATAATGACTTACGGAAGTGCTGTGTTTGTTTGAAAATGTGTTGCTAAGCTAATTCCTCTGCCTGCAACTGGAGTCAGCCCTGATTCTGAGATATAAAGTCAGGGGCTGCCAGACAAACCCAGTTAATTAACAATAAATAGTTTTATCACTGTTGGTTAAAAAAACTGTAAAATTACAGTCATTTAGTTTCTTAGAAATACTGCCTTACACTGCATCCACTCACTGTCCACTCTATTAGACACTCCTACTCTGTCAGTCCACCTTGTAGATGTAAAGTCAGAGACAATAACAATGAGCGTAGAAACAAGGAGGTGGTCATAATGTTATGCCTGATCGGTGTGATTAAAAATACTTCAGTGTAGCAAGAAAAAACATTCTCTTTTGTAACTATTACCTTTGAATCCCTACGTGAACATCACACCCAGTGTTGCCCGATCACTGTCTCGACCCCACATGCTCCCTGCTCTCATACCCCTGACCCAACTCACGAAGACCTCCATAATTACCTGATGAATTGAAATAAGTTTGTCAGAGTTATGATAAATCTTATTGAATGGATAGGGGGTCCCAATGACTGGAGCTGTGAAAGAACTGAAGCTGCATGAGATTCAAACGTAAGGTCTTTATATACTGCCTTTGTAAATTTCCCTGAATTCTTACTCACTGTGCATTTGAATCAATAGGTTACAATCATAGAAGCAAGTGATCATATAGGTGGACGAATCCAGACATACAGGAAGAAAAATGAGGGCTGGTATGCAGAATTTGGTGCCATGAGGATCCCAGGGTTTCACAGGTGAGTTCTATAACCCAAATGCTTTACCTTTTTAATGTTCTATAACCTTAAATACTTTGCCTGGATCAGGGGTTCTCGGTCTTACTGGTGCCATAACTCATTTTCATCTGTGTTTGCTAAGTAGTGATCATTAGTCATGATTTCAAAATAGAATAGCCAGTGTTTCTCATCAGACATTACAGGTTCTTTAAGCCGGCTTTACAGGGTGAAACTTTCATGCTTGATTCCCACATGAAACTAAATTGCACTTATACTTAATGTCACATTAAGTAAAGCATCCTGCAACTCATTTGAAACTCAGACGCAAACGTGGCACCCATCTCAACTTATATGAAAGTTTCGTGTTAATGGACAAGAACATGAAACAGAAGGTGGTTCACTGACTCAGCTGATAAGTTGTTAATGTTGTCAGTTTTCTGAGCCATGACAACAAATCTGAGTTTCTCGAAGCTATCATTTCTATAAACAGGTGGCCAGCTAACACAAACAGCTGTTTAACTGGCTGTTAGTGCCACCATTTATTCTTCATTACTGTGTTATTAACATGATTTACATAGCTAGATTACTTTCTCCACTTCCGTGCCCTCAAATTACACAGAGCTCAGATTCCTTTGTAGGACATTGTAATTTCTTTGTTGCAATTGTAGGACAAAGATGAGACTGAGAACTTGTCGTGAACCGGACGAGCAAGGAATTAAGTAGGCTATAACTGTAAAAGCTAGTGAACATTCCTTTTCAAAGGCTTAACCTACACACAACAGATTAAAAACTCAATTATATAGAAAAGATATAGATATAGAAAAAAAAGAACGGCAATGAAAACTTTGTGTAACTGTCAAGTTGCATGGAAAGTTGCAGGCAACCCATAACATTTAACAAGTTGCATGTAAGTTTCACAGTGTAAAGCCAGCTTTAGAAAGTAGAAACATCAGCATGAAAGTATTCAGCATATAAAATATCTATATATTTTGTGGCTTCTTAATGAGAAATCATTTGCACAATCATTTGCAACTCAGAACTAGACAAGACCAACAAAGTCAGAATTTCTATGATCTCATAATTCTTCATTACTCCTCATTTTCATCAGAAGGTGATATCAACTTTACATCCGCATATTAGTATCATAACTTACGTTTCAAATGTCATTTCACATTGAGACCCCATGAAGTCTATTCTTACATATGCTAACGTGACCAAATGTAATTCTGTGTAATGTAGGGACATTTCAGTGTTTTCACATGTTTACAATGGAGTGTAGGTCATTTTTACTGTTCATTTACAGTTGTTTAGCTTGAATTTACAAATCTGAATGATCTGTTCAGAATGCACCACTATAAGGACTGTGTCTTATGTCTTGTTCTGTTCTGTCTCCACTGATGAAGATGGAGAGGTTGCATGCAATGTTTTTTTAAAAGCCAATTCTGACACTGTAACTTTTATCACCTTATTCACTTTCCAGGATTCTCATGGAGTTTCTGTCAAAGACTAAGCTGAAGCTGAATCCTTTCATTGAAGAAGACATTAACACTTACTATTATGTAAATGGCTTGCTTCTAAAAACCTACACAGTGAAAGAAAACCCCGATATGTTGAACTACACCTTAAACGAGCGGGAGAAGGGGAAATCAGCCAGTGAACTTTTTGACATGGCATTGGAGAAGGTCAGTAACAGCAAGATGATATCAAAAAGTACTGAAATGCCCTGTTGAGCCAACACCTCCATGTTGTAGGTACATTTTTAACATTTTCCTATTATGATCAAAAATCATCCTCATTTCATACCTAGATAAGAGATGACGTGAAGAAAGATGGCTGCCAAAAAGACGATGGAGAAGTATGATTCATATTCTGTTAAGGTAATAACGCAAAACACTCTATTTTTATCTGTTCTAGTATTTAACACAAATACACTGTTGTATGCAAAAGTTTAAGTTTAATCACCTAAACGTAATTTGACTGGGGGTGTTCAAACTTTTGCATTCAACCATATAAAGCAAGTTTGGTTCTAACAGATTTCTGTTTGACTTCACAGGAGTATTTAGTGAAAGAGGGTAACCTGAGTCGAGAAGCTTTGCGTATGATTGGAGACATCCTTAATGAGAACAGCTTCTTTTACACTAGCCTCACAGAGATGCTCTACATCCAGTCGGACATCAGTGATAATACAGAGTAAGTATACTATAACAAGTAGAGTGACCAGACTTCCTGTGTTTCAACTTCATATCATGTTTTCTTTCTTAACTTTCTGTCTTAAAAGTTATTTATTAGCCCTGTATTTGCAAAAAATACTGTATGTACAATGTTTATAATCACCAATCACCAGTTGGGTAAAGCAAAGGGGGTAAAGGCTACACCCCGGACAGCTAAGCTCACTTAGTTAACATTTTTAGGCAATGGAGGAAGAATGGTCAATTTTTAGAAGGTAATTATATGTATTGAATGAGGACTTCAGAAAGTGCTTACATTTATTTTACCCAATTTTCTCTGCAATTTGGTCACTGTCAGTCCTAGCTGCTAGCTAGGTTTCGCCCTATCACACCATACTACCAAGCTGGGAGGGCAAAGGCCAGCACATGCTTTCTCCAAGTCATGTGAAACGCCACCATATCTTTTCTAACTGCTGATAATGTAACGTCACTGGACAGCTCAACATGCTTGGAGGAGAACACTAACTGCCAATTCTGTTACATCAGCTAACAGTCAGCTAAAATTTGACCCATCTTCACAAACTGCCACATCTGCTAGCCACTGCTTACAGCTTTCTGTCTGACTACTGAATGCTGCTCCTCTCAGGTCTCTGACTAGAAAGAAGGCCTAGTTATTCCAACAAAGAATGAAAAAGGTGAATTAGCACATAGCAATACGGCCTCTGCTTAAACAGTTCATCATGCTCACACAGAAAGCTTTGTCTGTGCTTAGATCTAGTTAGGCAGTGGCACCACAGGATTCCCTGATCATAAGTTTGAATAGGGCAAAGGGAAGTCTGAGAAGGCTTCATCCATAGCCTTTGGAAAGGAACTGGCAATGAATAAATTGGGAGATGAACTGAGTTAAAATCCAATTTATGATGTGTTCATAATCCAAAATAAGCACTAACTTATTTTGCCGGTGCACCTTTTGCATATACTCACTCTGGAATTCACTTCATATGGTATGAATTGCTGTTGCTTCTTTTTATTACTTGATCTCTTTCAGATATTTCGAAGTCTCAGACGGGATGGACCACATACCCAGAAAATTTTATGAAGTACTGAATGGCACAATCCTCCTCAACTCAACTGTCAAACGCATTAGTCAAACCAGCAGCAATGTTACGGTTTCGTATAAAGACTGGCGCAACCCCTCCACTTTAATCAGCCGCACGTTTGACTTTGCCTTGGTGACAACTACAGCCAAAGCTTGTCTCTTCATGGATTTCCAGCCTCCTCTGTCGGTCCGAAAGATGGAAGCTCTGCGCTCAGTGCACTATCGCCAGCTCCACCAAGGTTGTGCTGAGCTTCAGTGAGAGATTTTGGGAGAAAGAAGGCATCAGAGGAGGAAGAAGCATCACAGACATGCCTTCAAGGTTCATTTACTACCCCAGCCATACCTTCCCAGGGATACAAGGGGGCGCCCTGCTGGCCTCCTACACCTGGTCTGATGACTCCACACTCTTCCAGGGGACGCAGGAAGATGAGCTGATGGCCATAATGCTGGATGACTTGGTGAAGATCCACGGTGAGGGCATCCGGCGCCTCTTCACTGGCGGCATTGTGAAGAAGTGGGCGCAGGATCCTTACAGCCACGGGGCCTTTGCCATCTTCACTCCCTACCAGAAAACTCACTATGCCTCGGATCTGTTCAAGAGCGAGGGGAGGATTCACTTCGCTGGAGAGCATACGGCGATGCCTCATGGCTGGATTGAGACGGCTATGAAGTCTGCTCTAAGAGCTGCCCAGAACATAAACATGATCCTGTAAAATAAAAATGCCAAACAGTGTATCTGGTCACTAGGCCTGTCACAATTATTACATGACTGACTGTTCACAACTATTTGAGCTGATCACAAATATTTAAGCTGACTACAATTATTTTTTAGCTTTCTCAATCATAAGTTTATTGTTTTAGAATGCAAATGTGTATGCGGTTTTATTAGTTGGATTGACGCAAAAACATGTAAATAAAAGAAGGCAGAGACGCATTTATTAGGACATTAGGTTTTATGCATTTATTAGGATATTAGGTTTTATGCAAACAGCAGACGTTCTTACTTCTTATTCGTGCTGTTAACATCTTTAGAGGGCAGCAGTGAGTAATGTTTGTTTATTTGAGCTTGAGACTGTTTGTCATCAGTTGGGAGCTACTAATCCGCCAATTTAGCCACTTGTACTGTAATCGTTTAATTCAATGAACAAAAAAGACAATCAATGTTAATCAGTATTATTTCTATAGCAGTTTGATTATCAGTTAAAATGTTGGGATTGTGACAGGCCTACTGGTCATACCAGAGTGTATTAAAAAAGGGTAACATCAATTTTAAAACTATGGCATGAACATACCAAAATCATAATCATTTTTAAAAATTATTTTAAAATAGTCAGCATATCGTTAATGTCACGCAAAATCCCACTGCTCCGAAAATACTCACTGCCTTGAAGAAGCTGAAGGCAGCTTTGAATAAAAAAGCTATTCGCTTGGATCCCCACTTTTTATTACTTTTTACATTATTTTTGCATTATTTGAAAACTCAAGTTACCTTTAGTGTTAAAATTTCATGACGAACAGACCAACAGAAATTATTAGAAGTTAAGAATGTTTTGCATTCTCCTGTAAAGTTTCCATTTTGCAGATAAAAAGTTTTGTTCCTACAGTGACAATATAAGATACAAAGCTTATTGTTTAATAAAATCCTCCTGATTTGGTTCTGTGATCTGCCAGTGGTGATTCCTTCTCCTAGTGTTTTTTGTTTAGGTCATTTTACGATAAACAATCTTTCCATTCCTAATTTAGTTTTGTTTCATGGTTCATTGGGATTGTATATACACAGTGGTGTGAAATATCAATATTCATACAACAAAAATCGTGATTTGCTTCTTACTCAAAGTGCTGTTTACCATATATGTAAATTAAAACATAATTACTATAAGAGAAAACAGGACTGCTTCATACAAAGTGAAGGCTCTTTTTCATTTGGAGTACTTTCATTCTATACATTTGCCAGCGGCCTATACTGAACTGAATCTCTGGTTAAAGGAGCAATATGTAATACTGACAGCAAGCGTTTAAAATTGGCCCTGTAATACCAATACAAAATATTGGAGAGGGTTGTCTGGCCCCGCACCCTCCTCCCCTGGCTCTAAGCTCATGGGGGTTGCCAGGTTAAGGAAACTGAACCATAGACTCCTATATACAGTCTATGAATGAACCTACATGAAAGAGCGCAACATTCAACTTGAACAACATTACACAATGTTAAAAAAACATGAAAGTAGCAAATGGAAACGTTTTTGAAGTTTTTGAAATATTTTTTAACTCTGTGAGACAGATGGTTGGTGAAGGAGCCAATAGTGGTGCAGGTGTCCAGTGTAGAGGAGTGCTCTGCAGGTAGGTAAATGGGGAACTCGAGTAGTGAGTAGTAAATGAGGCAGAGACAGAGCCATTCCAATCTCGTAATGTCAACCTTGAAGAGAAAGGTCCCTGCTGAAAAAACCCATAGAAACCATGAAGTGTTTCTGTTGGTTCCTGATGGTTTTGTAATGTGTTTTGGCTTTTTTAATGGGTTGATATTAAAATGTAAATGATCCTAACGGTTTAACATGTGACCAAAGGCTGATTCTAAATGAATTTGATGGTTTCCTAAAGGGATCTAAAAGTTTTCCACAAAAAATAGAAAAAAAGTTTCGACTATTGGAAAAGTTATAAAAGTTTTCTCTATTGGAAACCATTAAGCAAATTCCCATTAAAAAAAGGTTTTAATTCTAATGGTTTCTAATGGTCCTTTTTCAGCAGGGGTTGAATGTGAGAACCAAGCAAAAGGTAGACTGTGAGAAGCAAGCAAAAGTTGTGCCTCCAATGTCCAAGTCTAAAAAAGGTTGAAATGAGCATCTGGTGGTTCACAGTGTCAAAGGCAGCTGACCAATCAAGGAGCTTTCCTGGCTTTGTGGAAAGGGCATTTCCTGTTGAGTGTCTTGGCTTTTATCCAGACTGATTGGTGAATTTTGATTCTCTCAAAGTTGAAAGATAGCTGTGTGGGGAGGCCTGTTTCAGGGTGGGTTATGTTACCTTTTTTAAATTCTACACCCCAAAAACTCAGAGGTGAAGAAGCCAGCATGGGTGGAGGGATTCTACACACTGGCTCAGAGTTGTAGCATTCACAGCCTCACAGGCTGGACCTCACCATAGGCTGCCATATACCCACTGGCTCTTTTACATAAATGTATTATTGTGTTCACTTAGTAATTACCTGTATTTATTTATTTGTTTATTTGTTTTGGTGTCAAAATTACCATTAATAGTAATAATAAAGATACAAGTTGTCTCAAAAGCATGAAAGAATACGTTCTTGAGGTTTCAAAATAAATAAAAAGCAGTGACATTAAGAAACATTGCTACAAATTCATCAAGCTTTTATGCATACAATACTCATTACAAATGAAGGGATTGTTGAAGTAAAACGTTAGATAATAATAATAATAATAATAATAATAATAATAATAATAATAAAACTTGATGTAAATAGTACCTCTCATGCATTAAAATGCAGCTCAAAATGCTTTACAATGAGAAAGGCAACTAAAAACCTGAATAGTATAATACAGAAAATAGAGAAAATAAAGGATTTGCCACGAATACAGCAAAGGTTAGTGTATGATTCGCAAATTTCTTAAATGTATGCAAAATTTCGATAATTTGAAGAGAAGACTGAGACATATAATTCGGGCTTTATTTACCCATTTTTTGTAGATTTTAAAAATGACTTAAAACACTTTTATTTTACTCTGCTCTGCGTCAGCGGAGCGCCGGTCTGTTTCCGGGTGAGTGTGTGCCCTTGGTTGGTAGTGATCGCTATGGCGGCTCTGGTGAGGCTCGGCTCTGTGTGTCAGAGGGGTGTCGCTCGTAAGTGCCAGTCTTTTAACGTTACACCGTTTGTCTGCTTTTTTCTGAGTTTTTCTGAAACCACTGGTTTAGAATTTAACGAGTCTGTGCAGCCTTTCAGCAGCGTTTCCGGCTAAAATGTCACGACGTTCAAGTTCACGGAGCCGCTGAGTTTAGAGTCCAGAGTTATAACGCTGCTCTGAGAGTAAGACAAGATGTTATAACGCTACTCTGTGAATAGGATCTCTACTGTATATGAACCCTTTGTGCTGATAATTGAACTAGATACAACTGAGTGACTGAGACGCAGAGCAGCCGCGTCGATGACTACAAAGATGTCTATAGAGCTCGGCGATGTGGCGACACTATAATATCGCGATACAATATATAACATAATACACGATATATCACGACATTTGATAAGTTAAAACAGAAAAAAGAATCAGCAGTGCTACATTTAAAAATACTCTCAAAAACTGTGAACACAATCATTTTTATTCATACTGTGTTACAGTTAAACAGGGCTGATTTTGCTTTTTTTATAATGAAAATGTAGTCTGTGTTCTACAAGTACTGACCATATCCATGATATATTCAGAAAAGCGTATTGCATCGTGACATAATTTATCACAGTAATGAAATATATATTGTCATATTGCCCAGCTGTACTTTAAAAAAAAAAAATAAATATGCCAAAGGCTTGTCAGCAAAGGTTAACTGTAGCAAATAACTTAAGCATTTGTTGTTACAACTGCTGTTACACAGTAGCCATACCAAACCACCATTTAACCACCGTTATTGTAGGCCCATGCTTGATTAATTCTCTTATGTGAGTCTGTTCATTTATTTTGTGTTTGTTGTATTTGTCATATTGTTTATGTTCTATTCTGTCAAATACAGTGATTCTGATTCTGTTCCAAGCCTACTTCACATCTAATTCCTTATATACTTAACAGTGACCTTTTCTGCTAGACATATCTGCTTTTGTGTTCTACATTGGCACATTTATAGTTATTTTATTGTGTGTAATGAGTGCCTTGTTTTGGTTTGTAAGTATCCTTTTTCCTGCCATTTTCCACAGCTCTATTATTCCGCAGTTCATATCTTGTCCGACCTTTGGCTGCACGTAAAAAGGACCAGGATTACCCGTATTTGTTCACAGCTAAGATACATGCGTCACCTTCTTACTATGGTAAGTGGAGTTTAAAAGATCTCATTAAAAGATTTTAAATGCATTGTAAATAAAGAGAGATTTTTGGTCTCATGTTTTACTTGCTTTTCATGTAAGAAGGAAGAGCAGACTCTTTTGCCTGGGTCTTTACTTAACTAACAGCAAACACCATCCTAGTATAGAGCATGTGTCTTTATGAATATACCTTGTGATTTGTCCATGTGCTAGTATGTCTTAGTAAAGTCTTGCATTAGGTTCAGAGAAGAATCAGGGGTCAGCCAAGGTCATGCTCTTAATGCGATGATAATCTGTTGAGAACTGCAGCAGGACTTTAGGCCAGGGTTTACAAAGAGCTGGTGTAGCTGCAGGTTTTTTTTTATTCCATACAAGCAGAAGCACATCGGAAACTAATGGTTTGATCATTTGGCCTCAGTCTTCAAATAGTTCATTAGTTACATAAGGTGTGCTGCTACTGTAGGCTAAGTCAACTGTAAATGCAGCCTGACTGCAATCAAGAAGCTTTCAGCCTCTTAAGAGATAAATATCCCTTTCCAGTTAAATGGAAATTCCACCAGTTTTTCAAAATGTCTGAATATTTCAGTCCTTAGGATGTAAACAGTCATTCAGAGTGGTTTGAAGTGAAATGGCTTATTGTAGAGAAACTAATGTCTTTACAGTGGTGGTGATGGGAACCAGGGGTCACAATGTCTACATATAATACAAATATAGCCGTTTTATTTACTGTCCAGACCACCAGTGAACTGACGCATGTAAGCATGTGGATCAGCTTTAGAAAGGAAATTGTCTTGTAGCTTTGTAGCATGCTGTGACAGGAGAACACCACCTACTGGAATGCATCCTGCCAACTGTAAAGTTTGGTGGAGGAGGGATAATGGTCTAGGGCTGTTTTCGGTATTTGTGCTCGCCCCCCTTAGTTCCAGTGAAGACTAATGTTAATGCTACAGCATACAAAGACATTTTAGACAATTATATGCTTCCAACTTTGTGGCACCAGTTTGTGAAGGCCCATTCCTGTTCCCACATGACTGAGTCCCTGTGCACAAAGCGAGCTCCACAAAGACATGGTTTAATGAGTTTGCTATGGAGGAACTCCAGTGAGCCCTGACCTCAACCTCACTGAACACTTTTGGAATGGATTGGAATGTCAGCTGCGAGGCAGGTCATCATCCAACGTCAGTGTCTGACCTCACAAATGCTCTTTTGACTTAATGGGCACAAATTCCCAAAGACAAAAACATTTTGTGGAAACCCCTCAATTTTATTCTCCACATTCATGTCCATGGTTTTGGAATGAGATACAACAAGCATATATAAACATAAAGGTGTGATGGTCAGGTCACCGTACTTTTGGACATAAGGTGTGTGTTTGGTAAATTTCTGTCAGTGAGGATTGTTTCCCTGGGTGTTTGGAGCAAAACAGCTTTTAGATTTACTTTGTACAAGATTAACTGTATGCTCTAAGGGGGTTCCTTATAAACTGCTTGGTTGCATTGCAGATCAGGCGCTTGTCATTCTACGCCAAGTGCTTTAAGGCAATCCACAGCTGCCATATGATCAAGCAAAGTCATGCTGAACTGTCATTCCTTCTCCTCACAGCCATGACTTTAATGAGGAATGAAATACAGTGGCAGCCAAACGAATAGAAACAACAGTACAAATTTGTTTGGTGTTATATAATTTTATATAACATGGTGTTATATCATTTATATGACATATATAAAATTATACATAAATATAATTTTAGACCAATTTCAAGTCTTCCTTTTTTTAAGTAAAGTCTCAGAAAGGTTGTTTTCAAACAATTAAATGTGTGTCTTATATCAAGTTATATGAGAAGTTTCATACTGAGACAGCATTGGGTTTGTGTTGTCAGTGATCTCAGGCTCAGTGCTGATTCACAAAATCCTTCTGTTCTGGTCTCATTGAATCTTAGTGCATCCTTTGATCACATTAATCACAAGATTCTAATCCACCATCTTGAATACTGAGTAAGCCTCTCAGGCAAATTTTAGAATGGTTTAAATCATATTTGGTTAATATACAGTTCATGGTTTCAGTGGGAAATCATTCATCAAAAAATATACAATTTCTTGTGGAGTCCTACAAGGTTCAGTTTTAGGGCCTTTGCTTTTCTCTTCATACATGTTACCTCTAGGTGATGTCATTAGGAAACATGATATTAATTTTCATAGCGGATGACACACATTTATACATTTCCATTCCTTCTGATAATCAAAACTCTGTAGACAGGCTTACCAGTTGTGTGTCAGATATTTCTCAATTTTCTGCAACTAAATCATGAAAAAAATTGAAATGCTGGTTCTTGGCATTAAAACTCAAAGAAAACTGCTTTATAAGAAGCTCGGTTCTTTAGCTTCATATATCAAACCTGAAGTACGAAACCTGGGCGTGATCTTAGACTCTGAGCTTTGTTTTATCGCGCATGTAAACACAGTCACTAAAGTAGCTGTTCATCATTTGAGAAATATTGCTGAAGTTTGGCCTTTTCTGTCTCAGAGTGATACAGAGTTGGTATTTATCTTTTTAACTTGGTCTGTGTCATTTTCTTATGATTTAAATACTCATAATTACTGTTAAACTTTATCACCTGTCTGTAAAGCACTTTAATCTGCCACCGTCATTAAAAGTGCTATATAAAGATTATTATTGTTGTTGTTGTTGTTGTTGTTGTTGTTGACTGTGTGCAAACTTTAAGTACAGGACAGCAATAGTGCCGTATGATTTACCATTTACCATAAATGGTAGTGGATAATAACGCAGTGCATATAAACTCACACAGGACTATTGTATGTTGCAACTTGACACAGTTTTGCTCATCACTGAACTGTCATTTGTGTCTTGCAGCAGGCGCTGGGTCCAAAGCTGCCTCGCTGCACTGGACAGGAGAGCGGGTCCTGAGTGTAATTCTCCTCAGCTTGGGCCCTATGGCCTATTTCTATCCAGGCCCTGTAATGGACTACTCTTTGGCAGCAGCACTTACTTTGCATGGACACTGGTAAGGACATAACAGCATGGTCTGTTTTCTGGTATAATCCAGGGCTAGTGCCAATTTTTTTGTCATATACAGTGCTGTGAAAAAGTATTTGCCAATTTCTTCTATTATTGCTGATCTGTCACATATATGAGCATGAAGTGCCTGTTTAAGGCCCTGCTACAGCGGGACTTTGACTTGGCCACTCAAATCTTAATTTTGTTTCTGTTGAGCCATTCAGAGGTTTACCTGTGCTTCAGATCATTGTTCTGCTGCATAACCCAACTGCGCTTGAGCTTTAGGTCACAAACTGATTGATGGACATTCTCCTTCAGAATTTTCTGATAGAGAGCAGAATTCTTGGTTCTATCAGTTATGGCAAGTTATTGAGGTCTTGCAGAAGCAAAGCACCACCACCATGTTTGACTGTTGCTATGATGTTCTTATTGTCGAATGCGGTGTTAGCTTCTGTCTTCCAGAAAGTTCCACATTTGACTCATTAGTCCAAAAATTCTTGCGGGTCATCTAGATGTTTTTGGCAAATGTGAGATGAGCCTTTGTGCTCTTTTTTGGTCAGCGGTGTCTTGCACCTCTCTCATGAATGCCATTTTGTCAGAAGTCTTTCCTATTGTAGAATTGTGTACATTGACCTGAACTGAGGCAAGTGAGGCACTTGACCTGTTTTTCTCATAATGACTGACTATATAAAAAAGGGAAATGTTAAAAATAGAATTGGTGTGGTTAATTGTTTAGTTTTACATTTGAAAGAACTTGGAGAAAACCTGCATTGCCCCAGAGTTAAAGTTTAGCTTACTTTAAGAGCTAAAAAATACAATATACAAATAAAAATAAGTAATTTTGTCCAGCCCTGATGAAACACATCACTTCACTATTGTTGATATAGTTATCAAAAAAAAGACTGTTCCTGCACATCAGTAAGCAGTGATGTTTGCGTGGTTGTAATACCTTTTAATACAAGCATTTAAGTATCATTAGAGAAAGCTCAAGGGAAGTCAGCTAATTTCGGAAAAGCCCTAAAGATTTCAAAATTTCAAAGATTTTAAGATGTTCCTGCTGAAATGTGCAGAGACCTGCCTTTCACAGAAATAACTGAAGAAACAGTTCTTGGCTCTGAGTTGTACAGGTTGTCTCTACATCTTTGCGGATCAGGTTCTAGATTCCTGAGTTTTAATAAGAAAAAACTTTTAAAGGATGTTAAAACAAACACAAAGTTCATGATTGCTTTAACTGATTATTCAGTTTAATCTGATGAGCACTTGAGGACAGCACAGTGGAGGAAAAACAAAATTAAGGCAAACAGTTTGGTGTTTGGTCCATACTATATAATAGGGGTGGGCAATACAATGATATTTATCATTATTGCGATAAATTATGTCACAGTATGCTTTTCTGAGCAGATCATGGATGTCGTCAGTGCTTAAAGAATACGAAACAACTGCGTGTTTTGTTACAAAGAGAACTTCATTACAAGTGGAGTCAGATTGCTGTGATCATAGTTCTTAATGTTATTTTTAAATAGTAGCACTACTGGTTCTTTTTATCAGACGTCAAATAAAATAAATATTGTTATATTTTGTGCATCCTGATATATTTTTGTCATATCACCCAGCTTTGCTGTGTATGTAACTGTGCTGTCTTTTCTTTCAGGGGGCTGGGCCAGGTTGTGACGGACTACGTTCACGGTGATTCTAAAGTCAAGCTGGCCAGAGCAGGCCTCTTCTTTCTGTCCACTGTCACCTTTGCGGGTCTCTGCTACTTCAACTACCACGATGTAGGGATATGTAAAGCAGTGGCTCTTCTATGGAGTAAATAGATGGACTGAATTGAAGGGGTGGGGAAAGTGAAGTACGGGTCCTGGAGCTTTTCTCATCATGTCCCAGCTGATTGTACACATTTGTTGGATTCCATGTAAATTCTATAAATATATAATTTTGACAAGATACCACATCGATTCATAAGTGTTCATAATTAATTGATTACTAAGCGAATATCGTTGGGGTTTCTGTTGGGCTGACTCCTCTGTATGTCTCATCTATACAGATAGGTGAAATGACTGTCATGGGTTATTTTTTTAAGGTTAAAACTATGACTGCCATATTTCATATGGTTAGCATTCATCAAGGGAAAATATCAGTGTCTAGTTATGTCTGTCCAAGCCATTTTAATTGTTGTCCTCATGTCAACAATCTTAAAATATGTGTTCATCTTTTGCTGGGTTGGAAACCCACTGTTCGGTTTTGCTTACCCAGCTTGAAAGAATCCTTTTTGTGAAACCAGTTTGATCGAGCTCTTTTGTGGAGTGGTGGGAAGCATTCTGAAGTATTTATCACAGATGATGAACATTTATATAACGTTTTTTTCCTCAGGCTGTTAGAGACCCTCACGCTTCACTGCCTGTTTCACTGACTGTTTCTTTTTGTGACTTGGAAGTCTTCCTTGATGGTTAATTGCGGTTGAGAGGAAGACCACTGTCAGCACTTCAGCCTCAGATAGCACCTTTGCATGGCCTCAGTTCTGATCAAATTGGGGATGTGTTAGTAGTTTGTGATTAACCTGTATTCAGTGGGCAACACCTTGTAACGTGCAACGCTCCGCTTATGTTCATTGTGTTTGTCTGCAGTTTTAGCTGTCTCTATATGCTTCCCTTAATAAGACTTGCGGCTCAGTGTGATCAAAATGATCGAAAGCAAGTGCGCTCGATCACAGCTGACTCGATCTGCACTTGGAATCAGATTTTGTATCAGAGTAGATCAGGGCTTTGTTTTCTGTAAAGTTGGGGTATAATGTGGGTGTAATTGATTTCAGACTACAGAAAAAGCAAGACGGTCTTTGTAAACATAATATCTGTGCTTAAGTGTATTTGTAAAAGCTCAGGCTTAATCACGAGTGAGATGTCACTCTGTCACTCAGTGTTACGAATCTGCTCTGTCAGATTTTAACGCCCAAGTTAGCTTTGGGTAAACATACTAAGTCTCACCAAAATAAAGCAAGTTTTATGGATTGTGTGGTTTATTTCAGACTACTGAAGTTATAGAAAGCCGTTTGTCCAAACTCACACAATTGGTTTGTATGTAATGTATAATTTTCATAGATCTCTCTTTGGATTCAACTGAAATGTCACTAAAATATGACATCAAATCATCACTTAACTTTTCACCAAGAGAAAGATGCAAACAGGCCAGACCTTGTCCAAATGCACAGTGAAGCAAACATCTCGAAGATCACAGATGGGGACAAATCTCTAAATCAACCAACTGAAAATTACTTTTTTTATTTAAAGACTTTGAAGTAGGATGTAAAAGTAATTTCAAAACGTACCATTCACTCTTCAGTCCGTACAGTCCGTGAAAACAGCCTGTTTTAAATTACTTGTTTTTGTGAGGTCGTGAAAAACAGTAATAAACAATAATTTACATATACCTGCCTATTCAGACTACAGCAGTTTAGCTCCACCCATTCACACTGAAGTTATAAGGCCGGAGTTCACAGCTCTGGTCCTGGAGGGCTGCTGTTCAGCACGGTTTGGCAACTTTTCTGCTCAGACATACACAACTTGACTTGTCTGTTATTTGCCATGTTATGGCAATGTGAATGTGTTACCGTAAGGAAACTACAAAACCGTGCTGGACACCGGCCCTCCAGGATCAGAGCTGTGTTCCCCGTTATAAGGAGAGTTTCAGCCCAGACTGCTTTCTGAATGAGGCACAGTACTGAGCAGCACAGATGTCTTTTGCATAGATCAGTCTTAAAGGTGCGGTAACAGCCTGTTCAATTCTAATGCATAAGGAGAGGATAGAAAATGGTAATGTAAAAATAAATTCTGACTGTTTTTGGTACGTAAAGCCAACCAGCATTATAAGTGGACGTCAGGGGAAAAATAAAATGCAAGAAAATGTAAGATATGGATCCTTTAAATCAGAGGTTACCAATCTCAGTCCTGGTGATCACACCCTACACTGTTATCAATAAAGGTTCTGTGCAGGTACATTTTTCATTCATCAAGGTACAAACAATGTAAATGTACCCTCAATGATACAACAGTGGTTTTAAGGTCCAACTGTGAACCCTAAACAAGTTCTTCCCAGAAGAAAAGTACGTTTTGTTTTAAAACAGAACAGAAAAATAGAAATCCTGGAGACAAGATGGGGTGTGTGGAGTCAATAAACACACACACATCTTCTAAGCCGCTTATCCTTCTGGGTCGCGGGAGGGTGGAGTCAATATAACTTAGAAAATATAATTTCAATGGATTTTGGTACAATTATGTTCCCTGACTAGAGGTACTGAGATGTACTCTTGAGGGTACCACCCCAGTGACAGTTTCGTACCTTTTTTTCTGACAGTGTACACACATTATGTCTGCAACCAAAACCACATACTGCCATACTAAGTAGTATGTCAAAGAGAGTACACCATGTGTGTGATGTGGAGCAAATAGGGCATGGTTACAGAAACCGAAGTACACAATATGGTCATTCACTGTGCACTCAAAGCTAATCCTGCAGTGACTGTGTGGCCATATTTGCTGATATGAGTGATTCTCAACACTATTCTTACCTGCCATCAAAACACCTTAGCAGTTGGGATATTTTCTCCATACAGTATTTCCAAGCTTTGAAATCAAACTAAATGGCTAAAATCCCTTTTAGGGTTGCTTCTCCATGTATGTACAGTCAAAAGTTTGAACTCTTCTGGTCAAATGCATGTTTTGTTGATTTTCTAAGTGAATATGAGTTAACACATCTGCTACACTGGGGACGTTCCGGCCTACAGAGATTATCACCTAAAGTTTCGAATTCAGTTCATGAAGGCCTTGCTAATTGGCTGATGAGCTGAATCAGGTGTGTTTAATGAGGTAGTGTGCTGAAGTTTGCAGTGTTTTGGCCTGTGAGGACTGGAGCAAATGTTCAATTTCTATTTATTTGCCAAGCATAAAAAAATATAAAAAATACAATGTGCCATAACTTTTGCTGTATTCTGTATTTTTTTTTCCTAATGTGTTATTCAGCAAATAAACAGTAGTTATATATTAAAATGTGCACAAGTGTGTTCTCTGTAGAGGATGTGTAACGTCTTTTCACTTAAAAACAACAAAATATTCACTTTGACCAGAGGCACCCAAACTTTTGCATATGACTCTATATATGTATGTACGCATGGATGTGTAGCTAAGTAATACAACAACAATTGGACAACTTTCTTGACTTTCTTAATTCATAAGAGTCCAACTAACTGTAACTGTGACCTTACAGTAACGTTATTAATGCTATAGGGGCTTTGGTGGTACTGAGGCCAGAGCGGTGCAATCAGTTTCTATATTTAACCATCACTAATAACATCTCCAGTGTACTCAGTATGTTGGAGGAGCTCATAAGGGCTCAAAGACAGAAGCAGCTTTCAACAATGTTTAACACGGCTGCAAATTTAGAACAATAACTCATGCTCCTCACAAAATCAGCTTCATGCTGAATAAAACAACCCCAGGGACTCCACGATAAACAGCGTACTTTGTTTAATGCTGATTTTTCGCTTGTGACCGAGGGAAATGCCCAGGCAATACATTACTCACATGAACCTTTTGTTAAGCGAATCGTTTTCACACTGTGAATAAAGGCCTGGTTACGGACACTACAGTGGTTTACCATGACCACTCCAAATTCTGTATGAACCCACTGACTATTTATGTAATGATAAACCATTTTAGAGGCCAAAATAATGCGACAGATCATTAATATGGAGAATTCTGTGTAATTTGTTTTATACCACTTAGGGGTTTTAGTAACCAGAAAGGGGACAGTTTAAGGACCTGGTCTAAAGCCAATAGGCAAGCATTTCCATGCTTGAAACTAGAGGCTAGAAGCTCCCACAGATTAGCAAGAGCTAAAGATAACTGGTTACAGGTAGTGCGGTAGTCAAGACTAAGACCAGATTAAGATTTTTAAAAGTTTTAAAGTTCATTTGTGGTTCATTGAACATTTATTATCATTCATTATGTTATGTAAGTTATTACAGTTTATAATGTATTTTGTGAAATATAACATTAAATTAATAACATTAAATTAAATAGTATACAGCCTAAAATAAGCTCCCCGGACAAAAAATTAGTCACCTTGCATGTTTAAGGTGGTAGTAACTGATGGGGCTATAAATACTTGCAGGGTGTGCGACAGGATTCATAGATTGAGAAGAGGTGGCACAGTGCAGTGAATGTCTCATCATGGAACGATCAATTATATCCTCAACTGGCAGCCAACAGATTTTATTTAAACATGTAGAGTAAGGGCTGTTTTATTCTGTTTGAAGGTTTTGTTTTTATTCAATAATGATAAAAAAAAGTTGTATTTTCATCAGCTAGAGAAGTTGTGGCACTCAGCTGGTCTCGAGAACAATTTCTGTAACAATTCCTGTAACACTTAATACAGGTCTGGCCAAGTATCACCAAAGAAGACTCCAGTTTTCAGTGAATCACTTCAGAACATAATAATCTGCAAACAACTCACAGACAAACTTTATACACAATGCAAATATTGAATGTGATATTTGTGAATGATTCTAACAGTCACACCATCACACAGTGTTACTGTCTAAATACTTTTGGGGTTATTGTAGGTACAGTGGGTTCCTAAAGTCATCAAAAGAGACCACTGATGAGAATGCTTCTACTTGCATTCCTTATTAATTTAATACAGTTTTTTCATTACAAATCACATTATCAGCAGAACATTTGAAATGAAAAGTAAAATCACTCGAGCTGGCATGAACTCCACACGTTCGTGTAAAAGTCTCTGATGAGCAGATCAAATCCACCTGAACACAAACTTCAATAGAAGAGACACGCCTAAAAAAAAATTACCTTTTCATACTAGGGCCACAACAAGGTCAGTGTCATGACTTTGCTTCATTTTGCATAGTGACCTAGAAAAAAGGCAGAATCTCGAATATTTCTTCTGTATTGTAATTGTAATAACATTTCTTTGTTTTACATTTTTCAAGATTCAATGTGGTCTTTTGGACTCAAGGCAAAAACCTTCTTTACTTTTGTTGTAAGTTAACTAAAGATCTTTTATTTAAAGCAATTTTGGAGCATTTCTATTGGTCCAGTTATGATAAAATTTTCATACAATGTAAAGGACAGAGGAGCTCAGATTATGCAGAAAACAAAAAATCGCAAAAAAAACAGAGATGCTTGGGGTTTTTGGACAGTGATGATATACGACAGAGAACAAATTAAAAAATGTCTTTGTACAAGCTGGACTGACTCAATGATAAGTGCATAATATTTTCTCAATATTTGAGGACAAAATTCAGGGCCACTCTCACAGTCGAGGCCTGCATGGGGAAAAAACGCAATCTCTGTTTATACTGGGACATTGAAACAACTGTGAAATCTACAATGATAAAACATGTGAGGCCATATGCTCTCAGAGAATAAGCTCTTCTTTCAGTGTTTCTTTGCCATAACTGCATATCACAAACTACAGAAGGAAGCGTCTATAAGCAAACCGGACAATACTTAAACTAGACAAATCAGGCTGCTCCACAAAGACTACTGTCAATTCTGCTTGACCCTCACTGGTCAGGAAATCCAGACGTTATGATGTGAACACACTCTCTGACTGCCAAAATCTGTATTTTAGAAAAAACAGTCACACCTTGAAGTGCAACAGAAGCAACTACAGGTGTGGTCACTCACTAGCAATAACTTTCATGCAAGTACGGAAGTTACAGAGTTGTCCTTGTCTCAAGTCTTTTACTTCATACAAAAATACCAAGATTTTCCCCGATGAAATCATATGATCAGGTTCAGCAACTGCCTGAAGAAACCAGACTCGGGAAAACACCAGAAAATGTGTTCTGAAGAATCTTTTTCATATCACATTCGGGTCATCACACTAATAGTTAACATACTCTAATGGATTAATAGATATAAGACAACTGCATGATGGAGGGGAAAGTCAAAGGACATTAAGTGAAAAACCAGGTGTTTCCAAAACTGGAGCTCAAAAAAGATTAAAAGATGTAGAGAAACTGGGACTCCTAACAACCTGGTAGACCATCACAGCTGTCACCATCAGATAAACAGCACTTAAGGCTTTTAATTTTGAGAGAGAGGAGAAAGTCAAGCTCCACTCTTACTTCAGATCTGAGACTCCACAGGTGTTTCTGTCCATCCTTCCACTGTGAGAGGACACTCAACACTATGAGTCTGAAAGGATGTGTAGCTGCTAAGAAGAATTTACTGAGAAAAGACAATAAACAACAAAGAAGAAAATTTGCACATCAAACAAAGAAGCTGCTGGTGTTTTCAGAACAATGGACTGACCACCACAGAGCCCAGACCTCAATATCACTGTAAGTGTTGGGATTACTGGATTGTGAGAAGCAAAAAATGTAACCAACTTCTAAGACTGAACTTTGAAGGTGTGGAAAAATATCCCTGCAGATTTCTTTGAAATACTGAAAGTAAGTCTCCTGAAATGAATGGAAGCTGCAATAAAGGCAAAGGGTGGACACACTAACAACATATTCTACTTATATATGTATATTTACAGGCTTTCTGTGTAATTTTCTCTTAAATGTATATTTTCTGCTTTTTTTCAGACGCTAAAAAATGAATAACTTGTACTTAAAGGCTGTTTGACTGGATAATAATGAAAGGGTGATGTCTGATGATACATTACAATAAATGATAAATCTATATACTGTAAGTATATATTTTATTTATTTAATTATAGCTATTCTTACTTATGATAGTGTATATCCTCAAGGACTCGATCAAGTATTAAAACTATCAAACACAAAAAGAATGTGTTGTGTTCATTTTGATGCTGTAATTCAGATAACCTACAGTGTTCAACTCTGATCTCTGTTCTCCAATCTGAAACTGTGACTGAATATAATACAGCAGTAATACTGCTGTAAACACTGCAAATGACAAGAAAGAATGTAAATGGAATGAAAGATGAAGGGAGAAATGAATGGAGAGAAATCTGTATAATGCTTTTGTAAATGCCGCTATACATGACGTTTACTGTACAGTTTGTCTGGACTGTTCACTCTTTGTTATGCATGAATAATCTGAACGTGTGCTGAGTCTATTTTGATTATCTCACGTCTAAAATCTTCTTCTTTTTGTCCTTTAATGAAACTTTTACTCAGCCTTATTTAACTAGTCTTTTGCTCTGCCTGGTTTGGATGGGCAATGTAAATTTACCCATATACCACAAATTCTATTTACACATTTTTATCAGCATAAATATTTGACCTGAAACTGTTAGCTGATTATTATTATAATTATTATTACTGGCTTATGTGATTGTAAAGCAGAATAGGTACTGGCTTATAGAGATCGTTCTTTATTCTTACCTGCTGTCTAACAGAATCAGATTTAGCAATATGATCAGCAGAAGACTTTACAGGCTTACATTAATATTGACCTCAGTGTTACTGAATTTTTACTGAATCTTTAAGAAACAATTAGAAAGAGCAAAACTGCAGCAGTTACAAATTTACTGATTTTGATTCAAAGTTTCTCCAGAAATATCAATATATCCATGGAGTTGTATGCAAAAGTTTGAACACCCTGTGCACCCCGATTCATTCAATTCAGCAAATACAGTAATTATACATTAAATGTGCAGAAGTGTGTTCTCTGTTGATGATGTGTTAACTTATAAAATCAACACAACATGGAATTTGACTAGGAGTGCCAAAACTTTTGCACTTGACTGTATATGAGAGTGTGCTCTGTATCCTGTCTGCAGCACAAGAACACTATTTATCTACTCAAAAGAATAAAGAGTAAATAATTGTCTGAGTTTCTTGCAATGTCTTACTGTCAGCAGCAGAGCTGATTAGCAGATCTCCTGGTGGCTTTTGTAAATGTTTTTTCTTTTAATAAATGAAGTCTTTGACTTTGACTTTGGATTTTCCCAACCTGATTTCATCAATTTCACAGTACAAAGCAGTTTGTTCTGCAAGTAAAAATAAACAGAAGCAAAACAGTTTCTGAATTAGCAGTAGATCCATGTTAACCACTTTGTGGTTAGTTATGTGTGACATCATGCTGTGAGTACATTCTTGTGTATTACTCTGGAATAACCTTTCCAAGTCAATACACTACATGGACAAAAGTATTGGGACACCTACACATTACACCTACAGGAGCTTTTATGACATCCCATTCTAGACCCATAGGCAATAATAAGGAGTTGGTCCCCACTTCCACTTTGCAGCTATAAAGCTTCCACTCCCTTTGTCTCCAGGGTCTCTGGGTCAATTCATCCACACATTTTGGAGTTTGTCTGTGGAAATTTTTGCCAATTCATCCAGAAGAGCATTCGAGATGTCAGACACTGATGTTGGACGAGAGGGCCTGGATTGTAATCTCAGTTCTAGTTCATCCCAAAGGTGTTTGATGTGGTTGAAGTCAGGGCTCTGTGAGGGCCAGTGAAGTTCTTCCACACCAAACTCAGCCAGCCATGCCTCTATGGACCCTGCTTTGTGCATTGGGGATAGAAAAGGGTCTTACGCAAACTGTTTTAACAAAGTCGGAAGCATACAATTGTCAAAAATGTCTTGGTCTGTTGAAGCGTCAAGCGTCATTTCCCTTCACTGGAACTAAGGTAGGCCAATCCTTGAAAAACAGCCACATGGCATTATCCCTCCTCCACCGAACTTTACAGTTGGCATCAGGCTGCCAGATAGAGAAGCGTGACTTGTCACTCCAGAGAATGTTTTCACTGCTCAAGAGCCACGTTTAAAGTCACTGAGCTCATCAGTACGACCCATTCTACTGTCAGTGTTTGTCTATCGAGACTGCTTGGCTATGTGCTTAATTTTGTCCATCTATTAGCAATGGGTACGGCTGAAACACCTCAACTCAATTATTAGAAGGTGTGTCCCAATATTTTTGTGTATATATAGTGTATCTTGGGGGGAAAATACTAATGCTATCCATAGCAAAAATGCTTAAATACCTTACATATTTTAAGCCTACATACAACTTAGAAAATATCATTTCAGTGGATTACGGCACAATAATGTTGCCTAACTATAGATATTGCGATGTATCCTTGATGGTACCACCACAGTGACAAGAGGGGTACTGAATGTATATAATTAATATTATTAACAGGTATAATAATATCATACATATTAAGTATAGAGATTCAGCTTTGTTGCTTATTACAACAGCATTTTTTTTTCCTTTCAATTGTGATATTAAAATTCTTAGCCTGATCTGCATATTGCTATAAATATTTATTATTATAAATACCTGAAAATTGGTAAATATGATGATAATTAAGAAGAAAAAAGGAACGATGTTTTATAACTGTTATGGCAATGAAAGATCACAGTACAGTAAAGAGGTGTTAAAAGTGATTCCAGGACAAGTTAGTGCCGCTTTTTGTCATTATTGTCTATAACTAAATGAAACATCAATCCATTCTGGGTTTAATTAGAGTTCCAAACTAAAGTTTGGAGGTTTCCCTACTGAAACACACTCACTAAACCTGACAATTAACAGATAGGTCTTATCACGTGCGTTTAAGCAAGTAGATGACAAAAGTGTGCTGGACACTGGCCCTTCAGGACCAGAGTTGTGCATCCCTGATCTACACGGAACAAATATAAGAGGTAGCACAACATTTGCACAGGCCACATTATTTGTCTTATTTTTTACCCAGTATGTTAAATTCAGCAAACACTTTTAACTGTGCTTTACAATGTGCAGAAGTGCGTTCTCTGTAGAGGATGTGTCCTTATTTTCACTTAGAAAATCAACAAAATGTCATATGACAAGGGGGGATGCAAACTTTTGCATGCAACTGTGCTTCACATCAATCAGGTTATTGAATAAGTGACTGCATATAACCTAATTCATGTACTACTCTGGGCCACTTGGGGACCCTCATTCAGTGTTGTATAAGTGTCACATGGTTGAACGAGAGTTGCACTCTATTTAAGACAGCCCCATCAACACAGGGAGTAGATGGCCTCTCTTAGGCGCAGCTCTCGAAGTCTCCAGTAATCAGCAGGCATCGAAATGAAGACCAGCAAGCAAACCAGGACCAGTATGGCCTGTGATGATCCACGTAAGTGAAGATATCCTCGATTCGATCCACATATGCATACAACTCAGTGATGCAAGGGTAGGTTGAGGTTCTTTATCCTTTCTTCCCCACAGGCCAGAGGACCAGGTCCAAGAATAAGAACCAGTATTTCACAGATGTGCATGGTTTACCATGCATTGAAAAGCTGGTGTGCTCTGTGGATGAGACACCACAGCCCATCACCACCAAAATCAGAGGAACTATCCCTTCATGGATCCATGGAAACTTCCTCAGGAATGGGCCTGGAAAGTTTGAGTTTGGAAACACCCAGTAAGTACTGATAACATTATTCAGTAAAAACCAGAGGTGCAAATTTCAGGGGGAACCAACTTCAAGAAGCTGAAGCCTATATACAGCAATTCAAACATAATACTGTGTACACAAAGTATGCATACAATTACTTACACTATTGATGTTTCATACATTATATGTCATTATTAAAGCTTCTTCTATTGTTACAACCTTGACATTGTAACAATAGTAGAAACATTTTTGGTGCTATATGGAACAATTTTCAAAAAGAACCATTTATAAAACATTCTCCATCAACCTGAAGAACCATTTCACCATGAAAACATTTCTTTAAGTGTTGATGGTTCTATGTAGAACCATTGTCTTTACTAAAGAACCCTTAAAGAAGCATCTTTCTTGAGAGTTTACACTTTTATCATCGCAGTAATACCATTTTAATACCATCTCTACTCCTCAGATTCAATCATTGGTTTGATGGAATGGCTCTTGTGCATCAGTTCAGAATTGAAGGTGGCACAGTGACCTACATGAGTCGCTTCTTGAACAGTGACTGCTACAAGGCAAATGCTGAGAACAATCGCATCGTGGTGTCTGAATTTGGCACTCTCGCCATGCCAGATCCATGCAAGAACTTCTTCCAGCGATTCCTCTCCCGCTTTGAGATGCAACGTAAGAACATACAGGTTGCATCAGAATGAGAATTGCTTGTATTGACCGCTACTTGCCATGAACATGTTTTGTCTCAGTTGATTTGGTGGAGACACAACAACTGCACAGAACACTAACATGTCAGAATTGAGAACTAGCACACATGCTATAAATTAGGGGACAAAGCATGAAGGTTTATGCAGTCTTAGAGGAAGCGCACTTTGAATGCATTCACATCTAAAACTGTCCACTCTTACAGAACCAACGGACAATGCAAGTGTGAGCTTTGTCGAGTATAAAGGAGACTACTACGTCAGCACAGAGACTAAATTCATGCACAGAATTGATCCAGAGACCCTGGAGACAAAAGGAAAGGTAAGGAGTCTCCTTTGGTTCAGTCGTGACCAAATATTAACAACTTCTCACATTAAGACTTATATCTTTACATTCATAGTCAACTTGCTCAAATGTGTAAATGTCTTTCTAATAGGTGGATTGGAGTAAGTTTATAGCTGTCAATGGAGCAACTGCGCACCCTCATACAGATCCTGACGGCACTACATACAATATGGGCAACTCTTATACTTCTAAAGGTGAGGCGAAACTGACTAGACACTTGCGAATGAATTACTGTTTAGCTTAGATGATCATTCAGAATAGGAAATATCACAAAACAGAAAATTCTGAGACCGTTTTCATTCCAGGTGCATCTTACAATATCATCAAAGTGCCTCCAGAGAAGATAAATCCAGACGACACCTTGGAGGGAGCGACTGTTATATGCACCGTCCCATGTGAGGATAAGACAAAGCCCTCATATTACCACAGTTTTGGTGAGTGTTCCACTTTTAAATGTAAACTTTTCTGAAATTTGTATTTGTATATGTGGACAGAAATGTGCAATTTAAGTGAGCTAAAGATTGGCCTCTCTTTTGGGTGCTGGCTGAAAACCTTTCTCCATGTTTAATTTCAGCCATGTCAGAGAACTACGTGGTGTTCATTGAGCAGCCCATCAAACTTGACCTGCTAAAGATAGTGACAGGGAAAATGCGTGGGAAAGGCATCAGTGATGGGGTATACTGGGACCCCAAACTGCAGACAGTTTTCCATTTGATTAACAAGCACACTGGCAGGGTAATGGCTGGAAACTAAGCTGAATTAATAGAATTATATACCTTAATAATGTTTTTCAAAGTAAATGATGTTATTCTCCTACTCTCTTACAGCTGAGTCCCATCAAATACTACGCCAATCCATTGTCTACCTTTCATCAGATCAACTGTTATGAAGAAAACGGCTTCATCATTATGGATATGTGCTGTTCTGATGATGGCAAAGCTATCAACAACTTCTTGCTTCAGAATCTTAGGAAATCTGGGGATGCTCTGGATGAGGTAAACATTTGCTAAAATATATAACAGCCTAAAATATACGTTTACAGAACTCCACAGATCACGTTTTTTTCTACTAACTTCTGTGAATTATAACAGAGTTTGCTGTACTTTGACCAGGTCTACAACACAATTTGCAGAATATTTCCACGGAGGTTTGTGTTGCCACTCGTTGTAGGGAAGGACACACCTTGTGGGCAAAATCTGAACACCAGACCCGACAGCCCAGCTACTGCAACCAAGACAGGCAAGAACAAGGTTGGTTAGTGTACATTTGAATCATTTTTGCTTTGAAAAATTTGCTTAAAAAGCAATATGTAAATACATGTAAATGTTTTTACAGGTGTACTGTACACATGAAGACCTTCATGGTGATGATCTTCATGAATATGGCGGCCTAGAATTCCCACAGATTAACTACAAAATGTACAACACCCATCCCTACCGTTACTTCTATGCATGTGGTTTTAGGCACCTGGTTGGGGATTCACTCATAAAGATGGACCTTCAAGACAAACACATGAAGGTTTGTTCTGGATTCCATTAAATGTAAATCTAATTCCACGATGTTGTGGATTGTTCATAGGTGGACAGATTAAACTAGGACACCTTGATATTACAGATTTGGCAGCAGCCAGGATATTACCCCTCAGAGCCGGTTTTTGTTCCTTCACCTAATGCTGTGGTGGAGGATGATGGAATCGTCCTATCGGTGGTCATAACCCCTAATAAGGTGAGGCAAAATTCTTTCTTTCATCCAAAAAGGCAGTACAGCAGATTCAAATACTGTATTATATACAGATAGATAACAATTTAAAGAAAAAACCTGAATAACTCAGTGGAAAAAACATAAGTGCATATTCTAGACAAGTGTACTGCACACACTTAAAAAAATTGTTCAAGGGTTCTTTAGTAAAGACAATGGTTCTGCATAGAACCATGAACACTCAAAGAACAGTTTGCTTGATTAAATGGTTCTTTTTGAAAAGGGTTCTATGTAGCACCAAAAAGGGTTCTGCTATTGTTACGATGTCAAGCTCATAACAATAGAAGAACCCTTTCTTGGTCAACTTATGTCATTTCACCATTCAAAGAATCAATTAATCATACAAATGTTTGTTTTTTTGAGTGTTCTTGGTTCTATACAGAACCATTGTCTTTACTAAAGAACCCTTGAAGAACCATCTACATGAATGCTACATTTATGCACTTAACATCCTACACACTTAAAAAAGATTGTTCTTCAATAGTTCTTTAATAAAGAAAATGGTTCTATATATAACCATGAGCACTCAAAGACACTTCTGCATTCTTGATGGAGAATGTGCTGTAGATGGTTCTATACAGAACCTTTTTGAAAAGGGTTCTTCATAGCTCCAAAAAGCGTTTTTCTATTGTTACAAGCTTGACATCAAAACACTACACTCTTAAAAAAGACGGAGCTTCAAGGGTTCTTTAGTGAAGAAAATGGTTCTATATAGAACCATAAACACTCAAAGAACCCTTTGCATTATTAAAGGATTCTTTACATCATGCATGAATGTGCTATAGACTGTTCTATACAGAATTGAAAATGGTTCTATATAGCACCCAAAAAGGTTCTTCTCTTGTTACAAACTTGACACCGTAACAACAGAAGAACGCTTATTCACTCTCAATCAATCTGAAGAACCTTGAATCATGCAAAGGGTCCTTTGAGTGTTCATTGACCACGATTTTAGATCAGGATGGAGGAGAAAAGATTTAAGTGACGTTAAAAGAGGGTTAATTATTGCAGCACAGAGACTCACAGCCAGAGTTTCAACAGAAACTGACTAAAGTGACATCTGCATGTAAAGCAATGTGAATGTGGGCTGTTTGTGGCTGAAAGTGCACATTCAGTGACAGTGATGCTCACGCATTAATGAAATATGTAAGGAAAAACAGAAGTGCAGCTGTTCAGGTAACTGAGAATATCAGGACATGATCAGACAAGAACAACCTGTCCAATTACACAGACAGGGATATTATAGTGGGGTTGCAGCACGTAAACCCCTCACTTACAAAGACAAAAGCACATCTGAGAGTTCACTGACGTAAAAACCACAGACACCGGTCTAGAGAGATCTGCAAAAAAGTGATATAACCAGATGAGTCATCCTTCACCATATTCTCCACAAGTGGGAGAGTGCATGTGTGCTGTAGACCAATTTAGGGAATATCTTTTGGAAGAATGGTGATCCATCTCTCCAGTACAGATACTGGCAAGGCGCTGTGCAGCTGTTGTGGTGGCTCGTGGTGGCCCAACACCTTCCTAAGACACTTTTCATTATTTTTTGTTACCCTTTTAAATGTCTACAGTACAAATATATACATACTCTCGTAATTCAGCTATTTAACTGTTTAAATTAAAATCTTCACAGGATAAAAGCACTTTCCTGCTGGTTCTGGATGCAAAAGACTTTGAAGAACTGGGCCGAGCTGAGGTGCCCATCAACATTCCATATGGCTTCCACGGAGCTTTCCATGCTGGAATCTAAAGACCGTTAAAGGGATTCTACACACACATGTCTCTGTTATTGTCAGGGGTGACTGAAGGTGGACAGAAGATATTTTGTAAATTTATTGCAACAACCAAGATACCTAGATACCTAAATTTTGGAACTATAACGGCTCATTTGGATTGCTTGCATGAAACTTATATTACACAGATAAACTACCATGTAATATAGCTGCACTGAATTTTTATTTACTTAAACTATGTTGAATGCTTTGACATATTTTACTTGCAAAGAATGTTACTCAAACGTCTATGTTGCAGTAAACTAAATAAAATGTCTGTATAGGTAGTGTGATTCTCTACCATTTATCATGAAGATTTTGAAATGGCAATTTAACTTAGGTAACTTCTTACAGAACATGTGCAAACGAAGAACATAAATATCAAGAAAAGACCGTAACATTAAAACAACAAAAAACATCAATACATCAATTTTTTACATCTTTCTCAACCTTTTTCAGAAGCTGAAATCTATCCCTGCAGTTTGTCTGAGATAATAGCCAAAGACCGTCTCAGATGTTCTTTCTTCTCTTTAAGTTGTGATTCCAAGCTCACAGCCTCAGACAGGATACTCTCCAGCTCCTCGACCTGTGCTGCGTCCATCGCAGCTCTCTCTCTGAAGTGGGCAAGACCAATGCAATACAGATGAAAACAGATTAATGAGAATACAGTGAATTAATGGATATATAGATAGTGGTGGTTGAAAATAAGAAGGAAAACTGTAGAAAAGTACAAGGGTACAATACCAGAACAGCATTGAATAGTAATGAATAATGACACATCTTGCATTTTTCGAATTGCAAGGGTGGGTGTTATAGCCAGAGTATAATATCATGATACTTCAAGACCTTTTCTCTATACAAATCTCTGCACGGCTCAGTGTTGAAGAAGTACTAATCTATGATATGTGCAGAAAAGCATATTGTAACATAATGTGAGATGTCATCACAATAATTAAATATGGTCATGCTGCCCACTTAGCATGCAGTGATAAGGGAATTCTGGGCCAATGCCAATACACATATTTTCACATTGTTGGCAAAACTGCAAAACTGCCTTCTGTAAAGGATGTCCAAAATTCAAAACAATTGCTTTTTTTGGAGGTAAGCACAACTTTACACTGTGTTTAAAGTGTTCTTGTCATATTTATCCTTATCGTAATACTTATTATTATGACTGAAAGGCATTCAATCTTCCGAGTGCTACGACAACAACCAACATCTTTAGTTCCTTACATAAAATTAAACTATCACTGTGAGAAACAACCAAAAACGTAATCTGTAGTGCACATATGCCTGTATAATGCGCATGTAGAATTTGGCACAACACCGGTTCCTCAGGCACTAGAATGTAACCGCTGCACCATTTAAGGTGGAACAGGAAAATAAGAACAATGCATCTGATTCTGGCAATCAAGAACTCCTGAAGAAGTTAATGGAGTGGAAGACGGTGGTTGAAACAAGACTCTGCAGGAAGGCAGGTCTCCAAGACCAGGGTTGGTACCACTGGTCTCCTAAGTGCCAAAAACAGAACCTATTAAACAGTAGAAACCCAATTCCATGAGCAGAAGCCAGATCCAAGACATTTTCACCGGCGTAGCCAAGGTGGGACGCAGTGGTAGTGACGTCCATTTTATAAGACCAGTACACAGAACAGAATTAAAGTTTTCTATTTCAGCCTGTCACAGTGAAAGCAGGGGTTATTTAAATATTTTCTGTTTAAATGTTAGTATTAATGTTAGAGTCAGTATTAACGTTCAGGATTGGGGGCACCTTTTTCTAAAACATGACGTAAATATTTAAAAAAATTTACAAGCTGTTAAATTAAATTAGGCATTCTCTGTCAATTCACATTTCCAACATGGATGATTACTGCCTGTAACACATCAGTTTCAGGTTACTCTGCCGACTACATCACCCTGTGCTAAGCTTGTCTCCCAATAATAAGCAGTGCTTACCCAATACTAAGCTTGTCAAATGCCTCGAGAAAGTTAACTGGCTTTTGGCATCTATGTTCCACCATGCAGCATATAAAATTTCATCTAATAGGTTTTGCGAGAATCTGTCAGAGCATTTCTGAGTTACAGATGTTTAGGTCAACCAAATTCTGCCCTTGAAAAATTAATAAGTATGTGGTGGCTATAATGTTTACAAATGTTAACTTGTTTTGATAATTCTTGTGAATATTTCGAAACTTCGCAGAAACATCTTTGAAATATTATATAAAGTAATTCAACAATTCAAGAATTTAGGGAAAAAAAGAATTTTGATTGTATGTCTCACAGTTTAGGAGATACACAATACTGTCCAAAAGGCAGCACTGTATACACAGCCATGAAAATTGTTTAACTTAAAGGTATTTTCTCGTTTTTTGTGTATCTTCTTAAATTCGCCTTTAAAGGCAACTGCATATAACATGATATCCATATATTTCAATGTTCTGTTATTTTTGTCGCTATGTTCCAAAACCATTGCAGCAACTTTAATGGCTGTAGACATCTTGCACGCCATTTCACGTGTCTCTCCAATGGCAAATGAATGTAAAATGAAGGGTTTCTGACATGATGGGTAAGTCCTTAGCAATTTCCTGAGTGTCCACTGGTCAGTTTCACACAAAATGTCAGTGTCCACTGGTCAGTTTCACACACGAATCCACCAACCACACAGTGAGAGGCAGATGACATGTTATTCAACCCCTCTTCACAGCCTCATAACCCTGGATATAAGTCACGTATGATGGAAAGGGCGCCTCTACAATTTCAGGAAATGTTTGAACCATATTTCTGCTCTGTATTATCACAAAGATAGAGAAACATATATAGAAACATCAAATTTGAATCAAAATGAATTTGAAATTTTCAAACTCAACTGAACTGAATTTGAAAATACTATATAACAGTGGAACAAATACAGGTAAACTGAAATACAGTGAAGAGTAACAAGAATTTCTTGTTTTCAGTAAAGTTATTAATATCTTCGGTAGAAGAAACTTGTAGAAGAAGAACTGGTTTGGCTCCTGACTTCTCAGTGCTCCCCAGTCACTATATGCATCTATTAAATTCCATCAGCAGCACCTAATTTAATTTACTGAAGGACTGATTAGCTGAAACAAGACTGTGTCCATTGGTGTTCATTGGTCAGTTTCACACAAAATGTAACTGTAAATGCCAGACTTTCTTGAGGAGAGCTACGGGAATGGTTAAGCTAACACACTGACTGGGGTGTAACCAACTAGATTTTTTTGGACGCCAGAGGGTTATTAAAACTGTATTAAAACTATTAAAATACAACACTGAAACATCTGTTGGACTGTTACATAGATATTACTCTCTGTATGATTATTTTTTACAGTAGGTACCAATAATTCTGTACCTTACTGTCTCTGTGCACTTACCGTAACACCTCAGAGTACTTCGAAAGCATATGATTGATCTCCTTGACAGCATCTAAAATATGATGAGAAATACACACATATGTATAGGAAACAATCACATATGATTATTAACAGCTATAAATGAAAGGGGAGCCATGTTTAAGCATTACATTCTATGAGAAACAAACTAAATTAAGCTACACTGAACATACCTGCCCATGCTGTGTCAAAACCATTGGTCACACCTGCACTGGGTGATTTGGTACTTTGTGTCTTCATCTTCTTTGCTGGGGAATTCTCACAATATGTCACTGCATGTTCAACCTATAAAATGACAACATACTTAGCACAAAAGGATGCAGTACTGATCAATACAAAAGACCACGATGCAACTGGTGCATACTGCATACAATGAAAGTATACAATGAAACAGAAAACCTTACAGGATGAGCTTGAGTTCTCCAAGGACACCTTGATAGTAATTTAATAGTAATTGCACTGATACCAAGTCCTCCCTCATCACAGCTCTGCAGTCACTGTTAATATGTATATGTTTTATGCTTTAAACTGGTATTACTGGTAAAATGTGGGATGGAATTCTGCGCCACCACAACGTTGACTGCTCAATTAGTACATGGACTAATTCATGCCTCGTGATACTGTCCATATCCTAATATTAAACCTGTATTGAAATTGTGTAGCTCACGGCAACTTACCACACTCACTGGCTTCTAACTTATTTCAAATAGCAAATAATTTCTGCCTTAATTTAAATTCAATATATCTAGACTGCACTAAAATGCAGGAATATGAATCTGGATTTTGACTTTGCAATTTTACAACTTAATTTTACAACTAAAAAAACACTCCACATTCAAAAAGATACCAATTATTGTGACCATGATGCCTGTCCATGATAATAATTATTAGAAAGTAAGCTGAATCTGTTTTTTTAACCTCCATGATCTGTTCTATGTTAGTGACTTACTGAATGGAGAACTTTAAAAGTCCCACATCCTACATTTTTCTTGTATTTAACATTTTTCTTTAAGGTTCACTTATGACGTTTGTTTGATTATATACTAAAAACAGACATTTACCAACCTCTCTTCACCCCTTACAATTAAACAGGCTGTCTTACTGTTACTGTGCCTTTAAGACTGACATATGTAAATGCCCACTGTTCAGACCGTTTAACCTGTATTGCAAATGAGGCTGAAATATTCCTTTCAATGTCAGTGAGAGTGGGAGGGGCTAAACTGCTGTGGATTGAATATGCAGACATATGCAAAACAGCTTAGTTTCCACATATGGTCTGGATAGACTGAAGAGTGAATGATACTTTTAGAAACTTTTAATTATCTACTATATTAAACTCTTCTATGGCAAAAAGGTGAAAAATCCAAATTTCCATGATACAGACCCTCTAATTAAGGTAAAAGGGGGTGTATTTATTTGTTAGTCTAAGACTAGATTTAACCAAAGGAAACTGATTTAATTAGAAAAACATTTTCTTTTGATAATATGTCTTACCTCTGCCAGCTTTAGTTTAGATCCTTTGATTTCTGTCCCCCTGAGTGTCATCGGTGAACCTTTACCAGTCATTGTTCTGTCTTTTGTCCTGTTTGACAAAAGGCACACAAATGACCCAGAAAGCTCCTCTTACAAGAAGGCAAAAAGATATTTCACACAGTGCCATATCAAAGTTAACGGTTACGGCTTTTGAACATGTGTCTGCAGTAACTAGTTCCATTTATGCACATACTTTTACTTACACTCAAGTATATTTGCAAAGAAAGGAAGCTTTTTACTCAAGTATATTTAAATATATTATGCTGGTCATAGCACCTGGACTGCTCGGCTGCCCAGAGAAGAATAGAGAAGAATATCGCCTAACAAAATACAGTTCCTAGGCTAATAGATAACACTGCAGTTCTGTTGGTTCCCAATCCCAGCTTGTTAATTAATTAATGAGTTAAATCAGGTGTGCTAGATGGGGGAATTTCAGGACCGGGGTGCCATTTGTGTCCCACTGATATTACATCTACAAATCTGTATGTAAAGTCAAGGTAAAATACGTTTTAAACACAGTTAGTGTCCTTCTCAATGACCTATGTGCATGCTTCAGAGGAATAACTTAAAGCATTACTATAACCTACAGCACGTATAACTTAAAGCATTACTATAACCTACAGTACGTATAATTTAAAGCATTACTATAACCTACAGCACGTATAACTTAAAGCATTACTATAATCTACAGCACGAACAAAACAGTATTTTTGCCTCGAAAAATAAAAATTACTTAATGTGTAAATCTATCCATCTAATCATTAACACACACCTTTTCACGAGTCATACATTAATACTAATGAAACAGCATTCAGCTCTGTTACCTGAACACATTCACTCTCATAAAATATCTAAACTCTTCCACATGTTCAACAGAAAGCTGCTCATCCAAATTTTCTACAGATCATGAGAAGAAGAAATTTTCTCTTTCTTTTCAATGGTAACCCTGAAAAAAATCCCTGCTATGGATAGAAAGAAAAACGGTCTCAGTGTCCTCAGGCCATTAGAATGGACGCTAACTAGTTAACCAAATTTTGTGTATTTGCTAATTCTGTGCTTAAAAAACTCAACCCTGTTACTCATTTAAGCCACTGTCAGATAAGAAACCTTTAGTGACAGTTTAATAACAGTTAAATATTTCTTAGATTCAGTACCGGAAAATAATACAATATATATATATATATATATATATATATATATATATATATATATATATATTTATAGATAGATTGGTTACAAAAGCTATACCCCAATCGAATATTTTATGTTTTTACTAATAGGTTAAACTTGTTTTGTATAAACGGGTTGTTTTTGGCTGAGTAGCTGGTTCATCACAGAAAGATAACGTTATTGTTAGTCTGGCCAACGTTAGCTGGCTAAATCGGTAACATTTCAACCTAACAAGCTAAATAATAACTTCATTGGTCGTGACTCCAAGGACTGTTCGTGAATGAGCTTTAAAATCTTGCCCAGACAAAAAAAATTCCTTACCTGAACGTCAGAATGTAAATCGTCGTCTGCTAATTACGACCAAATTGCACCGTTTTGTAGTTTGTATACTTAGCTAGCAGGCTAAGTTAACAGTTAGCTAAACGGCTAGCTCGGTCTACAGAGAGCCGTGTTCTTTAACGTCTCTTGTTTCTAACGTAAAGCTGGGCAGACAGGGTTTACCGTAGATGACTGAGATTGGTCCATACAGATCTGGAGATTTACTCAGTGTTCTCCTGCTTTTACACAATAGTTGTGCAAACTAGTAAAAAAGTGAATTCTTTCACCAAAAAATTTAGATTTCTATGGAAACGCGGCTAAGCTGGCTCAGCTAGCTAGTTAGCTAACGCTAGCTTACTTGGGGAGCTACACTGCAGGGCAGGTAAGCACTTGTAAACATTAAGACTAGGCCAGGAAGCCCAGTGTATAAAACATGTTCTGCACACGTTCAGGACTATATTTAGGAAAACAACTCTTCAAACTGCTATCAGATCATTAACTGTTATCGTGCTGTATCTGAAAACCTTTGTGTAGTTGTATTTAAGCGGGACAAGGCAATGTTTAATAACAACGTTATAATAATCTGGAGGATCTGACAATTATCTTAGTATTTCTACTGTCTAAAACCTATTATTTCCACATCACATGCATTTAAAAACAGCCACATTTTACGAATGTCTGCGTTTATCTCTGCAAGCCTGGTGTTTTTTCGCTCTGTGAACTGAATTTCATGCAGTTCATGAAGAAACAGGGTCGAGAAGTTGTTACCGGGCAGTTGTGTGCTGCAGATCAGGTGACCGCTAGGTGGAGATGTTGATCACAAACCTCACAGAGCAGCTCAGACACAAGTGAAAGAGGCCGAAGTTCAGCAACATAAGACAGCAGATTGTGGACGTCACTGGCTGTCCAAACGTCCGAACTCATACAACCAGTACAAACAGCTTCAAATAATACCATTGTGTTTTCACACAGACATCACAACATTGTCCAAATAAGAGGAAGGCATTTCATGAAGGAGTAACAATGGTTGAAACTTGAAACTTGAATCTCACTTGCGGGAGTAGACATGACACACTGGCTTAATAAGCACTGAACAGTGGACAAAACATTAGAACTTAATTTATCCATCCTTGACACCACCCCTCTCTCTCCACAATCCTATTTTATCTAGAGAAACCCAAAAGATATCCTAAGAAGGGCTCTGAAAACTCAAGGCAGCTCAGCTCCTTGGTACAGATGTCTATGTCGATCAAAGCTGGCCAGTTTTCCCCTCACGTCACTCATTACTTTAGAGTACAACATGTAACTTTAGAGTAAAGCATTTTTAGTCCTGCCATCGCTGCACTGATATATGGAGTTAAAAGGATGGATTACATTTTTTTTTACACCTCTTGACCTCACAGAGCTCATAAAAATGCAACATCAGTCATTTTTGAATATTAAACACTTGATTGGGGTCATTGGTGCCAAAAAGTGGAATTAGGGCCCCCATATCTTTTAGATAGAATGTGCTACTACATTAGGTAGGACATGTCAATGACTGTTAATGACTGTAAAGTAACTATTAACAAAAAAACAGGCCCAGAGGAACCAATACTACAAAGCTGGATCAGTAGAATGCTTTTATAATTAATATGTAGTCATGAGTTGAGTTGAATCGACAGTGACCCAGCCTAACATCGGTTCTCCAGGCTGAGTTTGGTCCCTGACTATGATTTTCACAGGAGCGTCCCTATTGTGAGTGTAATGGAGATTTTCTATTGACAACGTAATTTAATCAGACCCGGCTTAAAGGTAAACAGTGGTGACCCTTACACTTCTCTTTAACCCTGAAATGTGCTGGGGTGTATTTCACAGTTAGAGCTGCAGCTATAAGAGTAAACAGGAACCTGAAGAACGTGCTTTAATATTTACATTAGCACTGTTTATAAAATAAAATGGGTCATGGCTGCTGAACTCCAGAGGGGATCTAACAGCAACTGTTCTGAAGAATTAATGGAACAGACAGAAGCCAAATTAATTTAAACATTCAGTGGATCCTCAAAAAGTAGCTTTACAAGTGTGAATATAATGATTTTGACTTGACAGACACAGAGTGGCTAGATAAGACAAACACAGACAAGCAGTATCAGACAGGTCTGTCAGACACTGGACAGGCAGACAGGCACTGTAGTAAAGGCACAGCACAGTAACAAAAACCAAAATTAAATTAAAAAAAATGGAATAGTATAAAATAGAGTATAGAATATAAAACACTGCAGCATCAAAATGAACTGTTACGTCTTTATATTTTAAACTGAACAAGGCTTTTCTCTGCTTAATGTTAACCATGTAAGGTTCTCAATGATGTGGGCCTACTTTCCCAAAAGCTTTGTGGCATCAGGGTCATTTTAACTGGTAGAGAGAGTGCTTAATGTGATGCTCGCTCTACCATTGAACAATGATCTTTGTGCTAAGATGTTTTAGGGAAACTCAGCCCTGATCATTACCTGAGTGTTTCTATTACAAGCAGCTAATTTCTACTTCACAACTTAAATATGTGAATAATTTACTTTCTGAAGTGAATCTTTACTATTATTATTACTACTACTACTAATAATAATAATATATTTTATTTTTGAAGCACTTTACATACATTTAGCAGCTCAAAGTGTTTTCCAGATGAGTGATAAAGTTCAGTAACAGTAATAAACAAAAATAAAGTTGAATAAATGTTCATGTTAAGAGGAATAAAATAAAGGAATATGTATGATAACTCTGTGCCACTAAAATGAACGAGATAAAAATGAAATGAAATTTAAGTTAAAAAAACAACCAACTAACATAAGGAAATAAAATGAGGGAATAGAATAAAATAAAGGAAAAATAAAATATAAAAATAGATAAATAAACTATAAAACAACTGAACTAAAATCATAAAATAAAAAAAACAACCAAAAAACTAAAAGAAAATAAAATAGCCGTAGAAACCTAATAAAAATCAAATGTAGAAGTGGAGTAATTGAGCGCTGAGGTGACCGAGGGTCAGTTCCTCTGCTGGCCGCTGGCGGCGCTCTTCCTCATCCCCCAAACACACAAACATACACAAACATGGCGACAAGGCGGTCGTGCAGGATGCTCTCGCTCAGGCGCGGCGCCGTTTTTCTCTGTTTGTGCTTCGTCCCCGGCTCTGTTTTCGCCACGCTTCGTCTTCACCAGGACCCGCGGTTCATGCTGCCCCAGGACCGGGGCTTCTCTCTGGTGAGCGCCCCGGGCCGGTTCTCGGAGAGCTCCGCGGGGGGAGCGGCTGGAGCTTCGCCCGAGCAGAGGAGCCGCAGTCGGCGGAGCGCCGCCGAGAGCTCCGTGCCCAGGGTTTACGGACAGGTGAGTAGAGCTGCTTTTCTCTTTCAGCAGCGAGCAGCTCAGCGAAGGAGACGACGACCAAACATGTCCCCCGTCAGGCTGCCCTCACTAACGTTCGCACCCGGAGTTCACACATCGCCAGCGGTTTAATGTGACCTGTTTGCCTCCTTTAGGTTAATAGGTTTCTCCACGCCCCTTCACTATCACTGGAAATGACTGGAAATGCGTACGAGTGGAAGAGAGGCAGATATAACGTTAGAAGCTCGAGTTTATTTTAGTCATTTTGAATTTAGCAAATGTAGTGGAAACAAGAGATGTTAAACCGCCAGGTCTCACCTCCTCAGCCTTGTCTTCTTCAGCTTAAATACACAATACATGTACACCTTTGCTTCCATGCATTTGCACTCTCCCTCAGTTTCCCTGAAGAAAGCACAGCACAATGAACGGGAAGTCCTTTCTTCCTCTTTCTTTCTGCATCATCTTCGTGCAGATAGTTGGACTTTAAGGCAGTGTGGAGTTGGTACACTGGGCACCCTGGGATTTTTAATAAGATTGTCCATGCAGACAAAAATGCTGGTGAAAGATGGTGACAGTTTGATGCTGTCGTCTTCTATTCTTTGGAATTAAAAGGCACCACAGGCCTTGTCTGCTTGTCTGTGTTTTTCTTCGCTCAGGTAGCACGGCTGTGTGGTTTCCTTTTTCAGAGTAGCGCACTGTGTGAGGCCTGGGTTAATAGATTCTAATCTTTTCACAAGGCAGAAAAATACCAGAGGTTGAAACTAGGCTAGATGAGTCACTAGGAGCAGGTCTGTGGACTTCAGAGAGTTCCTCATGAATTCTGTCCGTATGAGATGAAAATAGCATGGCAGATGAGCGTCTTTTCAATGCTGAAAAGGTCCCGAACCTCAGCTGCCCCATGTTGTGTTACTGTGGCCACGATTGGTGAATAACATAAACGTAAGCATCGCTGCTCCTGCATAACAGGAAGGAGATGACCAAAGAGTTGTTGATTTATAAGGCTTGAAGGATGGTGAATTTGGCTGGACGTGATGTCCAAGAACATTTCTTCACCAGTCAGACTGAACTGCAGCAGAAGTGTGCACTTCCATTGTTGTTGTTTCCAAGCCACACTGGGAACTGGAACCTACTGCAGAAGCTTCGGTCCACCTCATTCCTTCAAATATTTTACTTCAAAAAGGGGGTTGCAGCTGCTCTGTTATGCTAAAAATGGGGGGTGCCATTGCCACCTCCTACTGCCAACCCCCTACCCTTTCATTTAGGTGGTCAAAGCATTTAGACCATTCATAAGGCTGCTTGTCTGCTAGCTGTTAAAGGAGGTGGTGTTTTTCGGTCTGTCAACATGTGATCAAATGGTCATATGATCGTCATAGGAAAACTACTGTGTTGGGAATTTGCTAGGAATAAGCCAAAAAGGAATGGAAGTTAAGCAAAAAAGATTAAAGATGTAGTTGTTAGGAAAACTCCCAATATCATGTTTTGGTGTTTTTACAATCTGACTGATTTGGCTGGTTTTTGTAGCAGTTTTATTTTACAAAGGAGAGTGGAGCTTTAAAAGGGAGAGCCTTTCGATAAACTGCTTTAGAGACAGCATCTGCCAGAGAGCTACTGCAGTAAATAGAAATGCACAGATGATATCACATCAGCATTGACAGATAATTGCCCAAAAATTTATATAGATATTGGTGAGATGTTTACATGTGACCAATATTTCAATATTTTATTCCAGAAAAGCAGAACAGTTAAGTGACACTGATGTCTGCACCTTTTCAGTTTGTGGTTCGTCCCAATTTCTGCATTTTATCAATGTTTATGCATCGGCATCAGCAGATATGTGCATTAAAGAAGTCATAATATGACTTCTTTAATGCATAATGATGCATCCCTAGCTATAAAAGTTGCGTAATATCATAAAATGATTATAAGTAGAGTATTATTGTCTCTTTAGTGTTTTTTTTTTTTTTTCAGATAGAGGAATGCATTCTACGATATCTTACACAATACAATGTAGTGCACTGTAGTACTATATCCTTTAGATAGCTGTGCTCAAGACCAGCATGAAAAAAATTAAGAGCAGCGAAATGTGGGCTAGCTATGAGGAAATGGAGGAAATCCTTTATGAAGTGTTCTTAGAGGCCTGGAGAGAGGTCATGTCAGTTAACACTCTCAGGAGTATTGCCCCCCCTCAGATGGTCCAGTTAAGATTTCCTTTCTGTGCTGACCTTTCTTCCTTTTGTGTGTCTGTGGTGGACATCATTTCAAACATAACAACTATAACTGTAAGATGAATTTCCACTGTTTAGGCTAATTGTAAGAGCCATGTAAAGGCCATTTGTAATGTCACAGCTACCTGTTTACATGAAAATGAAACTGTGCACTTCATGGGATAATTGATGCATAATGGTATTGGCAATGTTATTATTAAACTGAGATTGCCATAAGGAAGTTCTAGTTCATGTCCTAAATGAAGAGTTGCCGTTGACAACTAATAAAGACTTGAGCATTGTTTCAACACAGTTATTAGCGTAAATATGTTGTTGGGCAGCCACAGAAAAGAACAGAAAAGGTGAATGCTTCAGCTTTTTTCTCACTGACGCTGAAGTTTGCTTGGATGGTATTTGAATGATGTTTGGTACTCTAAGTGATAATCAGATAAATAGACACACATGTATACTCATGAAAGATTATTTTTGACAGTAAATCACTGTTTGGATTTGGGAAATTGATTGAAAGTCGATGTTCTTGCCTCAAAGTTAATTTCCAGAGAGGGATGCCTGGACTGAAACAGAGCCCTTTTAATTCAGGCACCTTTTGTAAGCCCAGACCTGTTTCATAAATCTCCCGCTACAATCAAGTCAGTGTCTAATCCCATTTTGTAATTACTTTCCATTCTTCTCATTTTGCTCCGTCTATCCTTTTAGCCCTGGAAGAACTTCGCGTTTATTAAGATTTCCGATTCCCCTGGAAACAGCTCGAGTCATAATTTCCATCAGTTTCTCTCAAAGTTGTTTTCATTAGATGCGGAATGAGTATTGATTTTGGATACAGGATTGTTTCAAAGGGAGCTGCTCCTGAAAGCTCATGAATACTAATGTAAAAAGGGCTTCTAAGAACAACAAAATGAGTGATTCAGAACATGCACCACTTGACAATGAAGGAGAAGGAATTTGTCATGTTTATCATAAACAGTAGACTAGTATGTCTTGTGTGCCTTTACTCGTGTTTTAGGCAGTATTGCTTGGACTATATTGCTTTCAAACAAAAATGTTTGAAAGCAGTGCTGGTTCCAGGACTCCGTCTTTTTGAAATAGACCTAAATTGGACTGAAGAACAGTTTATGTATGCACTATAACATCAGCTTATTTGAGAAAAGCTATGAGCTAAGGATGCTTTATGCCTGCCTTAGTTTTTGCAGCGTTTTGGCAAAGCTAGAAATCCTTTGCAAAAATAAAAAGGGAGGTATTGCAGAGGGAAGAATCCAAAGCGAAAAGACATAAGGATGGATAGCGCCAATAATAATCCGGAGTGGGCGGGAGGAGGGGTGTCTTATTGAATTCATGCTGTGAAGCGCTAGAGGAACCTGTCTGAACAGTCTGCTGGCTTACGCTCACTTGAGACGAGGCCGCTTTTCCCTGCAGGTACATACCGTCAGCCTGAGCAGGCCGTGAGTCACCGCTACAACAAAATCAGCGAGAGCCCCGTCGGCCTGCGGTGTGTCTTCAGGATATTTTCTACCTGCCCTCATATCAATAACAGAAGCAGCGCTCTGTGACTGATGCACGGCAGTAATACACAGCACGCTGCTGCCATTAACACGGAAATAGCTCCCTGGTGTCCAGGCGGTTAGGTGTTTACCAGTGCCACTAAGTGATATTAAATGGGTGGTTTTTATTTATTTATGGAAACGAGGAAGCAGTTTTTGGTTGCGCGCCAGTCATAAAACCGGTAGATTGCATGCAAATTGAACTGCTGGCCCTGGCATCAGTGCTGCAGAGATGATGTCATTGTTTAAGTCCTCCGCCGGCAAAGTGCTTGCAGCGGCGATAGAAGCTACACTCGTCCTGTGTCTCTCTCTCTCTCTCTCCCTCTCTCTCTGTCTTTCCTTGCTCTGTTGAATAATATATAACAGCATGAAATACTATAAACATTCACATGCATTTGCTTCTTTTAACCTCCATTCCCTATTTTTCATTGGCTGTGAGCTTGTGGTCTTAGTGACAGCTGCTGCAAGGTCAGCTAGTTGTTTCTTTGACTTGGCATGTAGTGCCTATGTCCATTTCAAAGAGCTTTCCAGGCTGTCCACAGAAATAATAGCCAGAAATGGCAGACATGTGTTTAGTTTGTGTTGTTTTGGCAGGAGGAGATGAATGTGATCTTTTGCACTTCCACAACATTTGTAGATGATTACGAGGCTCGCGCTGCAACATTAAGGTTGGGGACCTTGCGTATGAGAGGAGCTTTTCTCTTGCTAAGTGCGGCATGTCAGTGAGGCATGGAGAGGGAAGAAAGCAGTGATTTCCTCATTTCAGAGCACAAGTGCCCTTATTCAGCCGCGAGAATGTTCCAGCTTCTAGACCGCAGAACAAGGCTGCACTGAAAGGCAGCTGCTGTTCACTTATGGTAACTAATGCCCTCGTATAATGACGTATGAATGGTGTGAATACATGAGCACTCTTGAGCCTTGGAAAGCACGCATTTTCATCACGGAGAGCTCCTAATTAATTATTAATCCTAATGAACGGAATTTGACTTTCATAGAATATTGAAAATAAAAGTTTGCTATCAATATTTGATGAAGCAAAGAGTTTTTTAGGTTTCTTATGCTTGCCTTCTTCAACTGCATATTGAAACAGTGGTAATTAGACCCAAATGCTGATCATATGTCATGGATCTGTGAAACGTACCCATAAATATGAAGTGGATGGACCATGTTGGACTTATGAACTTGTTTCTAATTGCCCCACTGTGTGGATGAAACGTCTGTGAGAGGAGACGTTAGGCTTAATGTCTTATACAAGGACTTCATTTCAAGCAACTGGCCAGAGCTTTCTTTCTTAATGGCCCCATCACTCTGCATGGAGCTGTGTCAGTAGAGCTGTTCTGGAATGCTGCTTGTGCATTGCAGGCGCTCAGGCTTAAAAGCCTGGGAGATTTACTGCAGAGTCATGGCCCATTCATATATGCCTCTGTGTTTGGAGTTCAACTCTGGGAGATTGAACATGTGATTTGGTCTACATTTCATCTAGGCTAGTTTCTCAGCCCAATCCCAAATATATGGTTAGCGGTTTGGATCATAACAGATGAGATTAAATGCCTACATATCACTGTTTAACATGTTTCTCTGAGTTGTTTGCCCAATTGCAAAGATCTAGTAAGTGCTTTAGATCATAACTGATAAAAGTGAATGCTTGCTTACTTTTTCTTATTTAAAGAGATGTTTATTAACAAATCAACAATTAAAATGTACCTGCAGGCGAGAGCGGGATGAAGCACGCATAAAGAGAAATATATATATATATATATATATATATATATATATATATAAATATATATATTTAAAATGATAATAGCAAAACAATTAGAATACATGAAGTCATTCTAAAGAGCTGTGATGTAACTGATCACATGAATAACATGCAAATTCTTGTAGATTACAGGTATAGTGGAGCCTTTAGTCCAACGGCCACGGCTGCCCAGCAAAATACCATAAAATAACCGCTCTATGGTTTAATTCCAGCTTTGTGTTTACTGGGAATAACAGTCACAATGAGCCTGATGACCATGACCACCATATTATTTATGAGTCATTTATGAATGATTCGGTTCTTTTACGTGAAGGTGTGAGCCTTTTTTTTTTTTGGTAAGTCGGATTGTTAGGTCTTCTAAAACACTCGTTTGAAGTGCGTCCTGTGGAACCTCTTATCTAAATTTGACTTTAGATGTAGAGTCAAATCTAGCCAGAACGATGGGATGGTTGTATGACTCTCACTTTATAGTCTAAGCAGCATTAGCAGATTGCATTGGTGCTTGTTATGGCGATATTGTGTAGTGCATTGAGGCACATGCAATAAACAGTCATAGCCTAGAATATTTAGACTATTTAAAGGAGTACCGAAATACCAAATACCAGCTTCCTTCTGTAGGTATGCAGTGTTAGCTATGCTGTAATTGTCGTTATTTTTGTGATGCCAAATGAAAACCACATATATATGCCTATTAAGCCTACAGCAGTTTAGCTCCACCCATCACACTGAAATTATATGAAATGTTTCAGCCTGAACTGCTTCTTTAGTGAGGCAAAATACAGGTCAGCCATTGAGAACAGACCTCATTTGCATATGTCAATCTTACAGGGATAGTAACAAAAACAGCTTAATAAATTCTAAGGAATAAAGAGAAGTTTAAATATGGTCATGTAACAATGATTTATGACTATTTGGTATGTCTTTTACATATTTTAAAGGATACACAAATCATTGAAAGGCTATGCATGGTTTGTTATTGTTTAGTTAAATCCATTTATATTGTTTGGCCATGTATAAAAGCTTGATTAATCCTTTAATTACTTGGTTAATCGTCAAAATAATCAGTAGATTACTCAGTTACACAATTGATGGTGGCAGGCATACAGTTTTGTAGTTCTTTCTGCACTAATTGGAGCAGAACATGCAAAAAGAAGCTTGCACTCCACAAAGGGAAAAGCCGCTGGTTTGTAATATTTTGCTTTAACGACTCGTAAGACATATCAGAAGAGCGCTCATCTGAAAAGTCCATAGTCCCCTCAGACTTCTGAATTAAAGATGAGAGAGGCTGCACAGCTTGGAGCGCCGAGCGCAAGGAAAGGAAATGAAAAGCTGACACACTTTTCCCCTCTCGCTCTTACTCTGGTCTAGCGCGTTCATGCTTCTGTCTCTATTTTGTAGGTTTAAGGTTGTTTTGTGTGGGAGATATGGTTCACTTGCATAAGGTCAGGTTGCTAAGCAGGAGCCGGGGCTAATGCATCACCTGCACATATGCAACAGGAGCAAATGAAGCAGGTGTTGAGGCTGAATGCCCAAAGAGGCATTTTCCTGTTAGCGTTTGTAATGGTGCAGTTTAGATGTGCTGAGTGGAGCAGATTGTGCTGGAAAAGACCTATAAGAGCCCTTTACGATTCTAGCGATGTGTAATTTGATACCTGAGTCTGTTGACATTCAGCTCCCAATAAACAATCCATATAAAGTGGTCACAGATGCCGTGCTGACCACAATTCATTAAGTAATTTGTGCGGTTGATTTAAAGTTCCTGAATGCAACATTGATTGTCATCTAAAACTCACTTGAGTGCTTTGTTCATTTAGTCCACATTTCAGTGACAGTTGTTGTTTTTCTATTTACAGGCCAACCTGAATGACTCCCATAACCAGATGGTCGTGCACTGGGCTGGAGAGAAGAGCAATGTCATCGTAGCTTTAGCCAGAGACAGCGTCGGCACTACCGACCCGAAGAGCAGCTCGGTGAGTACGCGATATAGTCAAAAGTCAGCATATCGCTGTGATCTCTTACCACATCCTATTTACTGTGCCTGACGAGCTTGACATTTCCTACGACTGCTCCCCACGGTCTAGTCGTTCTTTAACTTCTGCAAGTCAGTTCTCTGTTTACTCAACTGCCATTTATTTAAGCTAATGACTTTGTAATAGTGACAAAAGTGTTGCATATGGCACCACAGCAGCTTGAATACTGATGGCAGAATTTAGACTTGTCTCTGTTGCTGTAGGTTCAGCAGCGTATCTCCATGGTTCTAGTTTGTGGCCAGTATTGTTGCCTGTCTAGGGATTATTGTTGTTGTGATGAATTACGTCACAGTGCGCTCTTTTGAGCTGTTGTTGATATTGTCAGTATTTGAAGAGCGCTGACCAACTGCATGTTTGATTGCAAAGAGAACGTAATTGGTCCAGTTTCATTGTGTTGGATCACCACATGTGAAATGTTAAACAAAAGTCATTGTACTAATAGTATTTAATGGTGTTTTTTAAATGTGGTACTAGTGAGGCTTTGTTTCTGTTCCAACTTATTAAACTTTAGAAAGACTAAGTATTGTAATGTGTGATATCAGGATCATTTGCTGTGAAAATGCCAGATCACCCATCCTTACACCTGCCAGAACCTGATACAATCACAGCAGGAGCGACAAAAGTGACAAATCTGTCTCTTAGTTAATTGAAGGGCCCATATATACATACAGAAAAACATGTGTATATTTACTGTAGTTATAAATGTGCAACTTGTATATTAGTTTTGTTGCCTTTATTGAATGTTGTGTGGTAGGAACACTTAACTGTTAACCCACAAACCTAAAATTGTGACCCATCAAAATATCTAATGTAAAAGAGAAACCTCCAGATCTAAACACTGGCTAGCTGAGCTATGTTCAAAGTCATCATAAAACATTGGTACATGCAGATGTACGAGCGCACACATCAACTAAATTCTATATTCATGCACCCAGATATTAAACGTTTTCCTTGTATGGACTGTGGAATGACGTACTGAAAGGTGGAACCAGGCACAAGCATGTAGATGAAGTAAACAGCCTGAAACCATATTACACATGACCTACGTAAGGACCCAATTTAGTTTAAACTGAGGAGCTGACAACTACAATGTGTTCGTCATTATATGACCGACAAATACAGTAAGTTCTGTATTCTAAAGTTCTAAAGTTCTATTTTATTAGCATATAATATATTGTCACTGTCCAAAATACACATCTTCATTTTTGTCGATTTTTATTTTGCTGTTGAACACAGCAGCTGTCCTTTACCTCGTGTGATTTCATAATCAATTGACCAATATAAATGTTTTTTTTCCTCAGTATCACTTGGAATTATAGCTTTAATAACTTATATTAAAAGTTAAAAATGTTTTTGCCTTCAATAAAGTTTTTGGAGATAAATGTTTTGTTTGGACAGCGACTATATATTGGTCTAATCATTACTAGCCCACATTAAAATAAACATAAATGCCACGACTGTGGCCAGTTGTAGCTCAGCATACCTCATTATGTCTCAGAAGCCATCACCGTCTACCACATCCCTCTCAGTAATTTTGCACACCCACATATGACTTCCTCACAGAGGGCCATGCATCACACTTGGAGAACTAATTTTCCGACTAATGCCCTTTATTTTTTTTAAGCCTGTCTAGCGGAATCCATCAAGTACGTTCCTCAACTTGAATGATAAACCGACCTATTCTTATAGGAGCTGTTGTTCATTGTAAATGCAATAAAATTAAATCAGCCTTTTTCAACTAATAGAACTGGACGAACAGTTTTCAGTTAACAGTAAATCAGTTAATCATTTACTTCCATAGTTTACACTCTTCATAACTTCCATTTTAGTTTCTTATTAGCTACTGAATAGTTTATATTATTTACTGAATGATACAAACCCAGTTCCAGAAACGCTAGGACAGTTTGTGAAATGTTAATGAAACAATGATTAGTAAATTGTTTGAGCTGTTTTAAATTGAACTGTATTAAAACATGGTTTTTTTTTATGTTTTTTGATATTTTACCTTATGAACGTCATTGTTTTTTGCAAATATTCGTTCACTCCAAATTTGATGCCTGCAACACATTCCAAATACATGTTGCGGTTTCATGGTTACCACTGTGTTACATCAACTTTCCTTTTAACAACACTCAATAATCGTTTGGGGACTGATGACACAAACTGATCCAGTTCCGAAAGCAGAATTTTGAGCCATTCTTTTGTTATACAGGTTTTCAGGTGTGCAACCATACAGGGCCTTCGTCATTGTATTTTGCACCCGTTTTCAATGGGAGACACGTCTGTGTTACAGGCAGGCCAGTCTAGCACCTGCACTCTCTGATTACGCAGCCATGCTGTTGTAATGTGTAGAATGTGGCTTGGTATTGTCATGTTGAAATAAGCGTGAACGTCCCTGAAAAAGACGGCAGAACGTGTTGCTCAAAAACGTGTTCAGCGTCAGTGTTGCCACACAGATGTGCAAATTACCCTCTAACACTCCCACATATCCTGGCTTTTGAACTTTAACTACTAACGATCTGGATGGCCTTTTTCTTCTTTGGCCTGGAGAACCAGTGTTCATTATTTTTTCTATAAAGAAGCTGAAAGGTGGTCGTGACGGACCACAGTGCGCCTTTCCACTGCGCGTCAGACCATTTCAGATGAGAGTGAGCCTGGAGAGGTCAGCACTGTTTCTGGATGTTACTAACGTATCACTTCCACTGTGCGTAATGCAGTCTTAACTTGCATTTGTGGACAGACTGTATTTACTGACCACAGTTTGTCAAAGTATTTCTATAGGCATCACAGAAACATGCTGGTTTTCAATGCAGGGCTTTCTGAGAGTTTGAAGGTCACAGGCATTCAGCTGTGGTTTTTGGCCCAGCCTTTTATACACAGATTTCTCCACATTTCCTTAATCTTTTGATGATGGTATGAACTGTACAGGGTGAAGTACCGAAAATCATTGCGATCATTTGCTGAGGATTATTTTTAAATTGATGCATTTTTGGCATTTTGGCAACATTTTTTGGAGTGCGTTGCAGGCATCAGTTTTAGACTAAGCGTATGTTTACAAAAAACAATGAAGCTTACAAGATAAAACATATTTTGTTTTTATTCAAATACAGGTCAAAGTAGATTTGTGAATCATTGCTCTTTGTTTTTGTTTGCGTTTTATCTCCTGTCCCAACTTTTTGGAATTGGGTTTGTAAATCTTAAAGTTAATAAGGATTAATTAAGATTAATGAGTCTAATAACTCCTCAGCGGAGGTCCAGTGTACTTGTTGGGCCACATGTCTGACTGTAGAAAGTCTGCATCCCTCTGTATGATAAGAATCACAGTACTTCAGTACCAGGCTGAAGATACTATACTCTTGTGCTAATGGTGTTCTTTTGCATTTGGAGTCTCGTGGATTAACAAGCTCCATATGTTCCTCCCAGCTTTCTACACAACTCTGCCTTTGATTGTATCACCCTAAGTCTCATTAGACAGTTAGCAGTGCATGTTCACTTCTCCAAAACTACCATGTGTTGTTAAACCCTATTTTCCATCAGGCCTACTGGAAGTTAGCATGAAAAAAAATGAAGCAGGCCTGATCACTACTTTATAGAACATAATTGGAATTCAAATCACAGTCGCAGTATCACTCATATTGATATTTTCCTAAAATCGTTTAGCCCTAGTCAGAATGTGAAATGTGAAATATATAAATATAGGAGGCGTATTACTGCAATAAGTATGGAAAACTTGGTTGTGAAAGAAGAATCCTGTTTGCAATAGCCTGTGTTAGGTTTGGTGTAGAAGTCTGCATGGGTATGAAATTTAACCCCAAACTGACCTGACTGGTACTGCCAAATTTGAAACCCGACCCCAATCTGAAGCCGCTTGCACACACTAACAGAGATGGATTAGAGCAGACGCGGTTTTACAGCGTAGCTTTCTTACTAATTTCTGAGTTGATCATAGAAAACATCATGCTGGGATAAACTGGTATTTTGCTCATTTGTAACACACACAGTATTTATTACCTGTATGCTTTTGTGGAGTTGCTGATCATACCTGGCAGAGAACAGCATCCACCCTCCTATTATTAACTGTAAGCCCCGCTGCAGCAACGTTCCACTCACTGTTGCTGCTACTTACAGCCATGACACCGTGAAAAAGTGTCTATTTCAGTGTTGCTGTTGTGGTTATTTTCATATATAAAGAATAGGTAAATAGGATTGTAAGTCAAACATCAGACACTTTCCGTAGACAGCACTTATTATTGATCATTATTCTGATTAAACAAATCAGTAATAAGTGCTTACTGATCTCAGTGAGTTTACACACTCGCTCAAAAAAAAACACAGTGCATCCAGCTATAAAGGAAGCCTTGTGCATCTTTTATATGGTGATAGAAAACACAGAAGCACACACAGCTTTTTACTGTAAATCCATGGTTTCATTTAGGGGCACATTCACCCACTTCCTAAACGTCTGAGCTATTCTGAACACTAGGCTACGAGAGAGAGAGGAAGAGAGAGGAAACCTTTGTTTTGGTGTTGTCACTGTCCAGAGCAAGTCAGATAGAGCAGGTGCAAAAGCTTCTTGTGTACTTTTGAACAGGGTATATTTACATGAGTGAGCATTTGAGCTTAACAGAAAAGATGGGTTCGTATGGGAGGAGTGTCCGAGGTTGGTTTCCGGTCAACAGATTGTGCCAGAATTCTCAGGTTCGCTGAGTTTTGCAGGACCTCTGCAATCAGGAACGAGTGCTGTAGGAGAAAGGAGAATTTGAGAGCAGTGAATTGGCAGTGTAGTTGACCTTCAGCATAAAAGCAGGGCGTAAAAAAAAGGGAACACAGAGCAGTCTGGATACTAAACTAACTATCACAAGCATAGCATGATGTCCTGTTCATTTTGTTCTGGTTTCATCATAACATTGGGTTGACATCATCTAAAGCAGACAACAGACACCATGTTGTATTGTTTGATATTACAGTGTGTCTGAATACAGATGCATAGTGCCTGAATTAGTATTCATGTTCTGCATGACCAGACATGCTTTGTCATATGACTCCACCCCATTCAAAATTGCTAATTGCAGAGAGGACACAGTGTTTATTTTAAGATCAAAGCTGCTGAATGTGTTAATTCAGTCTGTTCTTATCCATAGTGATGTTTTCTTGGTAGAAAGCTAAAATACTGGCATTGATACCTGCAGATATGAACCGGATATATATATCAGAATCGGCCATTATTCTTTGAAATTTGTGCACTCTTTTGATGTAAGGTTTGAAAGACTTACTAGTTCTGTTCTCCTAGTCTGTACCAGAGCAGAAAAATTATGCGTTTTACTTCTAGTTCTCTGAGTGTTAGGGCTGAACAATTTGGGCAAAATATCTAATTGAGATTTCCCTTCAGCTTCAGGGAGTGTAAAATCTCTTCAGGGAAATGTTTAAGAGGAAAATGAGGGGGGAAAAGTTTCAGCGCTTATGTATAACAGTTACTAAGTTTAAATGCAAATTTATGGCTTTAAATGATCTATTAATTATTTAACTTAAATACTTAAGATGTTTTATGTAAGTGGCGACAATGAGCATGTCTTTTTTTGACTGCCTCTTAGTTGTTATCATGTGCCTTTGGGTCTAAGTCATCTACAGGCAGTGCACAAGCTAAATGCTGAAAACTGAAAACTCCACTTTTTTTTTATTGCGATTTCAATAGTCGCCCTACTTGGTATTCACACTGGCATATTTGACTTTGAACCAAAAGATGTTTTCACTTTCCAGCAGACGTTACGACATACATTTGGCGGCATTTAGGATGTGAAAGTGCATTTTGACATTTTGATATTCAAGTATCTCTAAGAATTTGTGAGCGGATATCCAGTTAACCGCATGAAAGGGCGAACACGGTTTATTCTGTGTTTAGTCCCTGTAGATATTGTTGGTCCGGTTTGCGATCATATTTTAAACAAACCTTACAGTGGGTATTGGTCTGCTTAGTTGGTGCACACCAAATTTGCATAGCAGCGCTCAGACTTGTTCTAACGAACCACTCTAACAGAGAAGTGACTCCAGGGTTTGATTTAATTAAAACACCCGCCCTTAGAGTTTGTAGCAACACATTTGCCTTAACTCCTTGAAGGGCCCATATCATCGAAAACTAACTTTAATTTTCTTTTATAAAATAGTGTCTTTAATAAAATAAAGGTGCAAAAACAGTCCATTTTAATTCACTGTTTTTGTGATGTCATGAAAAACACTTGCGTATATGTCCACCTATTCTGCTTGCAGCAGTTTAGTTCCGCCCATTTGCACTGAAGTTATAAGGAGTGTTTCAGCTTGGACTGATTTTTGAATGAGCTATCTTCTGATTGCCCAAATAATAGTCATAATTCTGTAGTGCTAGTGCTGCAAAGTGCTGGCTAGCTCATTTACATATCAGTAGATAGCTCATTTACATATCAGTCTTAAAGGCCCAGTAACAGAAACAGCCTGTTTAACTAAGCCATAAAGAGAGGATGGCAGATGCTCATCTAAATATGAACTACTGCTACTCTATATATGAAAAATACATGAAAAAATGTAGTATATTGGCTCTCACTTTCATTCATTCAGTTTCTCATTGCTTATTTATGCAGGTTTTTAGGTGACTTACATATTAGCTTCATTGTAGTTACAGAAAAAGTCTAGTAGGTACTAAATAATTAATTAATAATCAAGTTTAGTTTAATCACTGAATCACTAATCTACATCTTCAACAGGTCTATGTGTCCTATGACTATGGAACCACTTTCACCCATATATCTGAGAAGTTTACACTGTCTGGTGGGAAAGAGAACAGCAGGCAGGTGATCTCCCAGTTCTACCACAGCCCCGCCGACAACAAAAGGGTGAGTATCTCTTTCTCCTTGAAATCTCATGCATGGGTTGCAAGCGTCCAGCGAGGTTGGCCAAGGTCACATCGATGTGGACACGTGCCACAGTAACCTGTCTGTCAGATCCCTGTTAAAATGACTCTTAAGCTCTGCCTCTCTCATGAGACCCAGCATGACTGAGTGAGTAATAGCCCCGAGCCGTCGCCCTTGGCACCTGGTGTAATTGCCTGCTCCAGGGAGGAGCTGCCAGGTGCAGAGGCTCATGGGAGTCGTAGTTCTGCTCTGAGGGGATACCGTGTTACTGCAGTGCAGCTGCACTAGCCAGTGACAGGATTTCACACTCTGCAGCACTAGCACTACAGAATTATGAGTATTATTTGGAAGGCAAACAGCCTGAACAAATCAGCAGAGAGCTTATGTTTGCGTGAATGAATTGCCCTATTTTTGAAAAGCTAACAAATTGGTTCTGTAAAGAATGACTGAACACCCACAGTTAATGCAAAAGTAAGATATAGGCACCCTACTAAGACTCAAACCTGACTGTTCATGCACTCTTCTTTTTATAGCAGCCTTGTCTCATAAGTATCGGCTCCCTGTGGAGACATTTGTTTTAAAGCACACAGAAAGTCCATAGAAAGTACAGCTCGTCTGTGAGCTGTTGCACGCCGTCTTGCTTTCTCTTTCTTTCTCTCTCTCTGGTTCTCTTACTCCACAGTGGAGAACTCGTTTTTCAAGCTACAGAATCCTCATCGAGTGTGGTGGTTCAGAGCCATCTCCACTGTGGAGTCTTTGTTCTGGAGGGGGAGCTGTCCTGCTTCCAAATCCAGGCTATTGAGAGGAGAGAGGTTATGAGGAATGCACATGGATAAAGGATCAAACAGAATATGCACACCAAGATTTAGAACTGCATAATTGCATAATAAGAATGACTGACTGTTTCTCTTTTTAAAATGGCTTACAGAAGTGTTTTTACATATGTCTCTCAACACCAGTTACCTGAAGGATTCATCTAGAATGCACTGAAATCAGACCTTTTAAATCGAATTCATTCAGTGATCCTGTACTGAAATGTACAGGATATTATTTACTTGTTTTTCATTGCTGTTTTCCTGTGTTTTCCTTTTAGTACCTTTTTGCGGACACCACAAACAGTTACTTATGGAACACCTTTGACTTCTGCAAGAAAGTGCAAGGATTCTCAGTTCCTTTCAAGCCCACAGACCTGCTACTGCACAGCAAGAGGCCCAACTTGGTCCTGGGATATGACAGTTCCCATCCTGATAAGCAGGTTTGTCAGAGACTTTGGCTTAGAAGTTTTCCGTCAGCGTAGAGCAGTATAATTGGTATTCTTGTCCGTTTTCTACAGTATGTTGCTACCTGTCTGTCTAGTGAGTCTTCTTGGGAACCTGCTGCTTCCAATTAAGTACCCAGATTCTGTTGTTTTAGTATTCTGACTCAGTAGTGACTGTGGCCTTTTAAATTTTGCATTAAATGCACTTTATAAGATATTGGGCCGTCAGCAGTTATCCAAACACGCACGGCTGATTCATCAGTGTAGAAACTTATTTGTGAGAACTTTTTTTTTTCCCTTAAAAGTGTAGTGGGTTTGCTGGGTTTGTTACCAGTTTTTCTTTCTCTTTTTTTGAAAGCTCTGGAAGTCAGATGACTTTGGCGAGACCTGGGTGCTGATTCAAGAACATGTCAAGTCCTACTTCTGGTAAGATCAATGGCAGCAATCAAGTACTTCTGAGGAACGTTGACGCATAACACCCTGTGAACTTTCAGATCCTCTAAGAGCATGTCCATCAAGGACTGTGGGCTCTCAAGACATGATGTGTGGGTGTATGTAAATGTGGATGGAGAGACTTCCCTTCATTTATTTAATTTTGATTCAAAATAGCCTTCAAGTATAAGTGTTTTTGAGGAGATTAGATATAAGATAGTCCACTTGCTTAAGGCAGGAGAAAAAATCAAAGGAAAATTAGTGAGGGGAGAAAAATACGTTTCCAAAACTGGAGCAAGAACATATGTAAGGTTTCGAGAAATTGGGAATCCTAACAGACAGACCTACCACCAAAACTGTCACTTCTGGCAACAGATAAACAGCACTTAAAGCTTTCATCAAGCTCCACTCTTCAGACCTAAAAATATCTATAGGAGTTTCTGTCCATCTTTCCACTGTGAGAACTCCAACACAGTGCCTCTGAAAGGATGTGCAGCTGTCAAGAAGTCGCTTGACAAATTAGCTGCTGTGTTCTCAGAGACCTCAAGATCATTGAATGTGTTTGGGAATACTTGGGTCATGAGAAGTTGAAAGTGCAGATTTCTGTGAAAAGCTGAAAGCAAGTTTATTGAAAATAATGTAATAAAGACAAAAGGTGGGTACACAAAATACCGAAAACTTTGATATTATATTTAGTTGTTGAGGCTACTTTGTAATGTTCTATTAAATATGCATTTTCCTGATGTGGAAAAATGAAAAAATTATACTTAATGGCCATTTTGTCTGGGAACTAAATAAATGGAGGGTGCTCTCTGACTTTGCACAGTACTGTATGTGTGTGTTTCCTATTCGTCTGTTCTGTGGGTTGTTATAATTACTACAGTTCTGCTGTAATTGTGTGTCTGTGTATGTGTTAATGCTAACCCACTGCATGCCCTGCAAGTAGCAAATGAATAGGGATCAAATGAAATGTACACAAAGAAGAAGATTTGTGCATTTGTGTTTCTAATTTTAAGAGCTTAGAGCTCTGACTTTCCTTCTTCATTCTGAAAACAAGCAGGAAATTCCAACTTGGAGTACAGCTAGTTCTCCAAATATGTTTTTGTTTTTGACCAAGTGTTGCGCAAGCTCTTACGCTCTGGAAATAGAGGGGTTGTTAGGGGAAGTCAGACTGATTTCTGGGCAGAACACTTCTATTTCAGTGAAAGACAACAACACTCTTATTTCAGTGCTTTGTTTGGGCGGTAGCTCTGCCAGTACCCCGAGAGCCTGTCACACATATTTAGGTGCTTGTCAGGAAAGCAGTACCCTGGAGTGCAGCATTTCTGACAGCATTCCGCCGCACCACATTATTCTGACCCGATTACTGTAGTTGAAACATTAATAAGACTCATTGATCCAGGCCTGGGGTTTGAAACAGTCTGAGTGAGAGTGATCAAATCTCCTGGCTGTTCTTAACCATCTGTTGTGTGTGCTGTTCCAGAGCCGCCAGTCCTGCTCTGTCTTATGAACACGGCCACTGCACCTCCGTTTCCTAGCATATCTTGTAAATGATATGCTGATAACAGCATAGGAAGGCTATGTTTATATTTGTATGCACCGACTGCACTGATTGTGCAACATTTGGCTGCTCAATTAGTGAGCGGTGGGCATCTCATCTGCAGCTGGCCATTCCACTCTCTAATTAATGTCTGAATGTGTCTGGTTACACTGGGTTCACTTCATGTCCTGCAGTGGCATGCAGAGAGTGTGGCGGAGAGATAGTGTCAGGCACAGAGGCCTGTGGCTAATGACTCTCAAGCGCAGGAGCCTCTCTCACCATGCTGATAAACCTTCTGCCTGGCTCAGCTGCAGAGCATTGTGGGAATGACTGTGGTCGTGCTTCGCATGACACACTAGGTGGCTTTTATATCAACCTTTTAGAGGTGATTTAGATGCTATAGATGTTTCTAGAATTCAGATTTGTGATTGCAGATTGCCAATGTTGATCCTTCGACTATGCATTAGGGATATTAGGGATATTTCAATCAATGCTAATGGAATTAGTCAGCATTCACTTCATCATTTTCCTAAGCACATGACATGCTCAGAGTGTTTGCTGGTAAAGCATAAAAAAGTAAGACCCAAATAAACTGTGAATATGCAAATTAATGTATTGACAGTGTCTTTGTAGGCAGCCGCCCTGAGAATGGTCCACCACACAAAGAATATCTGGTCAGTGGTGGTCCCTTTCCATTGATGGACAGGGTGTAGGATGGCTGATAAATTATGAAGTAAAGTATTGACTTCAGATAATTGGTGTAGGTAAAAGGTTGGTGTATATACAGTCACATGCAAAAGTTTGATTTTCTAAGTGAATAAAGGCATCATCAAATATCAGTTTGGATTATTGGTCAAATCTAAACATCTTTCTGATGCTGATCTTTTTTTCTGATTTTGACATCTGATATATTCCTAACATAAACCTCCCTTTTCAGATGCCACACAAACAATACGTAGGTCTTAATTCAGTAGCTACCTCTGTTCAGATTGTGAGGCTTCTCACTGGACGAAGCCTCTGAACTCCTGATACATTTTTTTTTTAAATACTTATCCCCTGAAGAGACTCGCTTTAGCCCAGAGCTCCGCCACAGGCTGGTTGAGGGCACCGTAAGCCGTAAGCTTTTGTCTGCTCTACACCCCGTTGTTGAGCGCATTTAAGCCTTGGTCGTTAAATTTTGTTGGGGAGGGGGGTTAGCAACAGTAGTGTGTGTATTTATTCGCCTCAGTCTAATCCTTTTATCCTTCCGTTAGGAGATTCAAGTGCCAGTCTCAACAAACAGGCCGGTGCGTTTACAGAAGAAGGGAGGCGGGCCTTTGTGTGAAGGAGCAAGGGAGTAAATCCCCCAAGCCTCCCCGGCCCTCTGAAGCCATGGCCCGAACTGTCCTTACGTTCAGGCTATGAGGTCCCGAGGCTGCTTTGCTGAATCATTTATAAAGAGGGTGCTGTAATTGGTTGCCTGTGTGTTGCAGCATGGAGAGGAATGTGGAAAGCTGGTGTGACAGGCTAGGCAGAGAGATATTTTGATGTCTATGGAGGATCTCTGTAGTTGTGCAATATCATCTTGTGACTTTTGCTTGTCTCTAGCTCCATGTAGCTGATATCTGTGTGCAGATCTTGTGGGTGGATGTGGAGTGTGTGGGTAATGGTGATCCTGTGCGTTTTCTCTCAGGGGAGTGGAGCCATATGACAGCCCCACCACGGTGTTCATCCAGAGACACGAACCCCAAGGTGTCTCCAGCATCCTCAGCAGCACGGACTTCTTCCAGAGTGAGCAGAACCGCCGCGTCATCCTGGAGAGAGTGGACAGCTTTCAGCTCAGAGACAAGTACATGTTCGCCACGACCACCAGGGTAAGATGCCACTTCTGAGATTAGTGATGCACTGATTTTCATACTGGAATAACCTGTTGGCTTGCAAACGTTTCTAAAGGAAATTATATTTTAACAGCTGCTTATCTGGACAGAAAGAGTTTATTTGCTGAGAAAAATATTAAGTTTTAAGTAGTTAGAAAACTAAATAGCAGAATAAAATTTACCTTCTTGATGAATCACTAGTAACTAGTTGGCAGTTGATGATAATGCATATTTTAAATTATGCTACTGCTTTCCCTTATAAAATAAATAAAAATAAAGCCATTGGGCACACCCATTTATTTCTTTACACACATCCATTATTGATCTTTTGCCTCATAGTATAAGTCTTTTTAAAGGCTTCCTAGTTTGTTTTTTTAGTAATGTGTCTTGGAATCATTGAAAGGCTATGCATATTTTTGATTTATTGTTCTCTTAAGTCTGTTTTTATTATCCAGTCTATTAGAAAAATGTTGATCACTCAACTGTCAAATAATGGGTAGATAACTGGATTGCTGATATCGATAGTGACAGGCCTGGTACTGTTTTTGTTGTTCTTCTGCTTCCATAAGTTTTTCATTTACAGAAGGCTAAACGTTCATTTTTAATGATGTTTCCAGGCAAATGTTAAAGAAATGACTTGAGCTCTGCAATGTGTAACAAGGCTGTAAGAGCCCTAACAATTGCTGGAAGCCAGTGGGTTTGACCCTAGAAAAAGGCTGCATTAGTGATCAGTAATGGATGATAAACTCTTCTAGTAATGCTTTTAGCTTGTGCCAGCACTACAGAGGAAGTGACATTAGCTTTTGCCAGGAATGAAACAGGCTTAGGTTTGCCTTTGAGGAACTGTTCATGTTCCTTGCTGTGTCATGCTTTCCAGGTGCCTAATCACATGTCACCTTGCAAAATTTTAGCAGAAGACAGCTATCAAATAGAAAATGTGCTTTCATTTTAAACATTTTACTCAGCGTGCATGTTCAGAGCATGAGTCAGTGTTGTGTTTCTTTGACAGTACAGAATTTTTGGTTCATTAGCAGGACTGGCTTTACACGATGAAACTTGCATTCAACATGAGTTGCTTGAAACCTACATGAAACTAAATTGCGCTAGAATTGCACAATGTAAAGCACCCTGCAACTCATTTGAAACTCAGCTGCAGCAGTTTCAAGTGTCTCAACTTCATGGAACAAGTTTCATGAAAAAGCCAGTCAAAATGGCGATAATATATCATGTGATCACGTCAAACATTATACTTTAAATCAAAGCAGTTGCAACAGCTGTTTAAACAGCTGCTTGTGCCATCGTTTATTCTCCGTTGTTAACCTGTGTATAGTGATTTACGTGATTTAGCTAAATTAATTTTCTCCTCGCTTGATCACCCTACTTTTTTACAGAGCTCAGATTAATTTGGGATCCAAGTGATGATGAATTATTACAGAAGGAGAGACTGAGATGCGGTTTATGATGAAGCTGTGCTTCTTAGACAGAATGAGTAAGACGTAACACTAATAAAAGGATGCAACTGTAATGGCTACTTTAAACATTCGTTTTCACATACAACAGACTAAACTGGATGGATGGATGGCCTTGCATATGTATGGATGGATAGATAGATAAAGGACAGGAAAATGGAATGGGTATGACAGCTGGGACAAACATACAAAGATGAAAGATAAAATTGCTGCAAATATGTAAATTACACTTCATGGATGACTTTATAGCGAGAATGATATGGCGTATAAAAATATGAGCTGTTATTTTATATAATGGCGTAACTGAGTGTGTTGCAACTTTGGTTTTGTTTTTGAATTTCATGTAACTGTCAAGTTGCATGGAAATGATGGTGCAGGTAACTTTCAACATGCAACTAGTTGCATGAAAGTTTCACAGTGCAAAGCCAGCCTTAGCCAATGCCAGTTGTTGGTTGTTACAGTTGTGTATCTCTGTTTGAGAGCAGCACCGTGTAAGGGTTGAACTTCAGGGCTTATCATTCTGTTGTAGTAAAATTGTGAAGTGATGTCCAGAGTGGCTGCAGTTTTTTGTTCACACTTGACAACTTGACATTGTTTGAAGACTGAGACTGTTTTCACATCTAATTTGTTTGCTAAAGTCTGCAGGTTGGGTTTTTGTGACATTGTGTCTTTTCCCATTTGCTTTAGTGGATTTTACTGTTCAGTGGCCGAAAGTGCCAAGGGTGGTGTTAGTGTTCTTTAATTGTTCAGAGATTTGGCAGGGATACAAGCACTCTATTACTTTCATGTATTACCTTAACTTCACTTATCTGTCGTAGTTTAAAATCCAGATCCATCCCTTACTTATATTAAAATTTTATATACTAAAAATGTGGCCTGTGGAAAAGTTAGGGCACATTTTATGCGTTATGTTTATGTTGTTATTTAACTATATGTTAAGCTCAGCAAATGACTCACTAAAATTGCCAGAAAAATGCCATTATTAAGTGTGTTCTCTGTGGAGGATGTGTTAACTTATTTTCACTTGGAAAATCAACATGACATTAAATTTGACCAGAGGTGTTCAAAACTTTTGCAAAAGACTGTTATGTGAATTACTCTCTTGGTGGTTGTAATATAGCACCATTTTCAAGGGTGTGAACAACTCAAAGTGAGCAGCCAGGCTAAAGTGCAGCCCCTGCACAGTAGGGTTATTTTTAACCCAGTGACTAAGTCTCCAAAAAGAGAAACAATGTGAGGAATCTTTATTTACCCCTTATAAATTCAAAAAAGTTATTATATCAACACAGATTCATCAAAAGCGTACTGTACATGTCATGTCAAAAAAATATTTAAATTTTATTGTGCTGATATTTTCTGTTGTACTTTGTGGTAAAAAAAAAATTGTGAGTCTTTTCACTGATCATATTTATTTTGTTGCATATATTCTTATGTATTTAGGTTGGAAAGCTCGTTTGGCCCAAATAGCACAAAACTGCAACCAGACTTTTTGTTTTACTAGACTGTTGTATCTTGCAAGCCTGTTACAATCAACCCCACCTGTGTGATTAAGTTGTAATGTTTGTGCTCTTGCCACTTTCATCTAAATTGTTCGTAAGCAGTAGGTGCAGGAAACAGTTTTCATTTTCATCTGTAGCAGAGCTGTGTAGGTTGCTTGTATAAAAAAATGATACATCTTGCTGAAATACTTTTAAAATTATTTAGCAAAAAAGCAAAATGTGTTAGGTTGTGCCCTGCTCTCCCCCACCTACAGCTGTGCAAGAGGATTGAGGATTTCTGCAAAATGACTTCGCTTGCAGACTCATATTTTACGGTGATTGTCATGTATGTGTATGCATTGGCCGCATGATCCTCATAAAGGTATCAGCACTGAGGCTCAGTTCTCTGGATGAAATTGAGGTAGATCTCCACCAGGCTCAAGTTAATAGATTATCATTATAGACTGCTATCGTTTCTCTTGGTGTGCATTTTCAATTAGTCTTCAGTGCCTTGGTCTTACATATTAAGAGATGAAGAACCCAGCTGGGTAGTGTGCGTGGGCCTTTGAAACAGCCTGCTTTAAAAAGGTATTCAATGAAGAACATTTCATACCTGTGTTCAGTTAGCCACCACTGACCTTTTGCACTTTGCAGGGACTCTGTGGCCAGATCCAGCAGTGACTGCATCTTAAAGAAGCTTTTTGTACTCAGCAGTGGCTTCTGAGAAAGCTAGCTTCTGCGAAAAAGCTCTTCGGTGCTGCCTTTGTAATTCACACCCTCTCCTTTTCAACCAGCAAACAATGCCTTTCCACTACAGTCCTCCACTACGGCTCCTCTCCCTATTTTAACTGCAAAAGGAAGCTGACATTCCACCGGAATTCATGGCAGTGCACTTGGGAGTAAAACAATTGGGTTTTGTTATGTTTATGACTTTGGGATCAGTTTGTTATCGTTACCGGCATTCGGTCCGCGAGTGTTTGTTTATCTCTGAATTTCAGTGGTTAATCATTCCCCTCTGTGTGTGCTGGCTCTTAACCAAGCTTGACCCACAGCAAATGTTTGGACTGCTAAAATAAATCCTGAACACTCGTCTGTCGAACCTTATGCATCATTGGCTGGTTCGGCGATGGCTGCTGTCTGTGTTAGAGAGGCAGTGTGGTCCTTGACCTCAGTAGTGGGTGAACAGTTCTAATAAATGGCATGGTAGTATTAGGCCTGAGTGATATGAGCAGAAAATACATTTTACATATCAAATGAAAGTTTATTTTAAACTCTATAGAAAACAAAGTTATTATTCTGGTGTATTAGGGATGCAAATTTTTTGACCAATAACTGACTACCGTTAGTTGGTGAGTAATTATTAACCAGCAAGCCTAAAATCAAGAATGTGACCCTCAAACTCTTGAAAGCTGTCACTGTTAACTAGGCCTGGGTGCAATGTATTCGGATATCGGCGATGATGGACAAGTAACCTGATGGTGATGTGTAAAAGGCAATAATAACCATTTTGGTAAAAGAACTGGGAGAGAATTAGGACTGATTTATCTTTAAACAGCTCAAAAAATATGTTGGGAAACTTGGGTTGACGTTTAGGAAGTGTGCTGGCTCACACACCAGCGAGAGAGAGACAGAGAGTGTGAGAGTTTCTTTTAAAGTTTGTTAAGAATCTGCCTGTGTTATTTCTCTCTGCTACGCACTTTAATGCTAGCTTTACCGCACAGATTCCCCTTAATTTACTTTACGTGAATGTCATTGAAAATGAATGCTGACGTGCTTTGGAAGCTGAAATGACTGAAAGTTTGCGTAGGGCAGCTAAATTAACCTAAAGGGAAAGTTCCTCTGATCCTCATTTACGGCTGGAGTACAGTATTTTTTTTGTACAGATTAAGTGTCGCGGTCGTTAGTTGAATTATAAAAAATGCCACTGTATCAATGGAAAAATGATTCGTTTTTAATGTCTGCCTTTGGAAATCGCTTGCAGTCTGAATTTTCTCCAGCAGGGACCACAAGTCATCGCAAATCTGCAGCAGAAGAAGCTTAAGGACACATG